ATTTCTGAGGCTGGTGACTCGGATGAACTTATCCTCAGAAGCAGAGGTGACTCTTGGTCTTCCTTTCCTGGGTCGGTCCTCATGTGTGCCAGTTTCGTTGTAGCGCTTGATGGTTTTTGCGACTCCACTTGGGGACACATTTAAAGTTTTTGCAATTTTCCGGACTGACTGACCTTCATTTCTTAAAGTAATGATGGCCACTGGTTTTTCTTTAGTTAGCTGATTGGTTCTTGCCATAATATGAATTTTAACAGTTGTCCAATAGGGCTGTTGGCTGTGTATTAACGTGACTTCTGCACAACACAACTGATGGTCCCAACCCCATTGATAAAGCAAGAAATTCCACTAATTAACCCTGATAAGGCACACCTGTGAAGTGGAAACCATTTCAGGTGACTACCTCTTGAAGATAGTAGAACAGCTAGAAAAGTCTGGGATGTTCATAAAATGACATAACTTCATTGTAATGCAGTTTTTATAACCAGGAAAAGACAAGATATTACAATATCCAAAATCTAAGATTTATTTAGTCTCATCTCATGATATCAATGATATTGATACATTGCCCAGACCTTGTAGAAGCAATAGAGGAAGCATAAAGACATTTCTAATAGAATAAATTGAAACTGTATTTTACTGTATAACTGCATTTTGTTATTTAGAAAACTTATTTTGTGAAGGCTGGAGTTAAATAAACATTGTGAACTGACAAAGGTCAGTTGGTGTTGGGATGTAAATACATACCATGTTTTGATTTTGTTTGTATAGCTGAACAAATGCCTATGTATGGGAGTATATATAAGCATGTACACATGTATAGTAATGTGTTGATATATCTTTAAATGTGCCTATATTAATGTATATTGTTTGCATGTATAATTATATAAACCAACTTTTTGCCCTATATTGCACTATTTGAAGTAACAATAACACAGTTATGACACTACAATGACGCATTTTCTTTCTTTTGATTCTTTATTATTTATTTATTCTTTATTATTGCTATTTTCTTTTATCAAATATATTTATGTATTTGTTGTGTTTGTTTTTCCCCTTTTTCCTTTAAATATGTTGCGTTTTCCTCCTTTCTCTCAATGGTATTGTTACTATGTTCCTTCACTTGGGTGTGTGTGTGTGTGTGTATGTATCCTCTGACCTTGTGCAGTGAAAAACATCTATATTTTTGTGATGTAAGATTTAGATAGTGACGCAAACACACAAACAGCAGCCGTGAAAAAGAGAAACTTCTGCCTTCTTGCCTAAAGGTGTTTTTATTCACCACTGACATCTGTTGTTAGGTTTCATATGTATTTGTATTGTACGCTCTTCCTTTTGATGTACATTTATATATATATATGTTTACTAATTTTAGATATGTATGTCATTATGAGGATAATGTACTTTGCACTCTTTGATATTCATGGTGACTTTCAGAAATCAGTGTATTGTGGATATATTCATCCTCTGTAGTACTGAAGATGGAATAGCCAGATTGTATACTCTGACACTGATTGTATCTCATTATCTTACGGAAATGGAAATGTAATATTTATACGTAATTTTGCATGGTAGACATATAGTTGCTCTTGCTTATTATTGTTGAGTTTTTGAAATGCAATTGTATTGGGAAATGTGAATCTGTTGCATTCTACACTAATGAACACCTGATGGCAACTTACCACAGAGCAAATCTGGTGAGGCAACATGTTAAATGTGTAGTTTGCTCCTTTTGGTTTTTAATGTTATATGTTAATTAAATAGTCTCAATCCTTGTATCCTAGTGTTTGCTGGAGCTTTATTTTTGGGGTTTTTTACTGTGGTTTAGCCTGCACCAGCTGGCAGCCAGGGGAGAAGCACTGCTGTGAATGGGTATCTCAGTTTTTTTAGTGTTCGAGAGGTATTAAGTTCTGAAGCAGCAGCACTGAAGGAGGCTACTTATATTAAAAGGAACAAAAGTCAGAGAGAAGTGAGATAACTGAAATTACTCTTGAAAACCATAGAGGGTTTGTTTAATACATTATAGATTTTTATACTAGTACTGCATGTTATAGCATGTACATGTATCATATCAGTTTATGTCTTTATGGATATATTGTGCATATCTGGTTTGTTATATGCAGTTTTATAAATGTCATTTTGTGCTCTTGGCCAAATTTTAGCCCAAATGCATCTCTCTCTCCTCTTCTAGTTACTTTAAAGGTATGCTATGCAAGATTGTCTGTTACTGTTTCTAATAACGCTCGCCAGTGAGTTTCACCCTATATTTGCGTTCTATCCAGTGCTGTGTCTCTTGGATGTGTGCTGCTTATGGTCTGATCACATAAAGCCATGACTTCAGCTGAACGCTGTCAAGGTACACGCCCATAAAAGTCTCAAACGCAGACAAACTGCCGCACACTTCTAGTAGGTCATGAGCGATGATTGAGAGGGATTTTTTATGAGTCTACACACTTTTTAAGGAAAATACTGCATAGTATACCTTAACATAATATTTCACGTGTTGTTGAATCTTTGTACCTTTTCTGTTGAGTTGTCTTGAGAAAAAAAAGAAAAGATCACATTAGAAAACTAGGAAAAAATGCACCTTTTTAATGGCAATGCACTCAAGATCCCCGTTTGTGAAGCAAAATGCTTAAAGCAAAATGCTGCTGACACTTATTTCATATATCAACATGCTTGGTCAACCACACAACAGAGTAGATTATCAACTGATTAAATTAATTTCACATTACTCCCTCAAGAGAGAAGAGACTTACTGCACAGAAATCAGTCTGACTTCACTACAATCTCTCAAAGATCTGTAGACCACAAGTTCATGCATTCAGGCTTCAATTATGACTTTGCTGGTGCTCCACCCATCCTTAATGTGACCTACATGGAAATGAAAACGTACCAGTGTAACATGTGGAAGAACGGCTATCATACACACGATGGGGTCAGGAGGTCGCAGACATTATCATACTTTGTAGTCTCCTACTGCTCGAAGCAGAATACAGTGAAGGGAAGCTGCAGCAGCTGAGTCCAGTGTAGCATCGCAGATCTGAGATATAATGGGGTGATTACATTTTACAACTTAAAAAACATTTATAAAGGGGAATGGAGCCTTGATGTAGCAGTGATATCATTTAACTGTATCCTTAAGATAATAGTAAACAGTCTGGTTTTGAATGATGAACGACTGACTGGATGCACTGAAGTGGATTGTTGCCGCCAACCGAACATGATGTTTCCTGTGCAGATAACAACACAAGGCCAGTCATATATACTGGACAGATACTGCTCATGGTAGCTGCTGCTCTAAATCAAATCAAAAAGGAGGAATCTCAGCTGCAGTAGCTGTCCTTGCGGCCATGAAGTCGCTTGCTTTATGTAAACAGGTACGACACTAACTTTATGAATTTTCAAGGATGGCTAGGTTTACAAATGATCATTCACTGCTGTTCCCTGTGGCCAGAAACTATAACATAAAAGGCTATAAGACCACTGAAGCTTGTGTCCATTAAGCCATTCGGTCATTGTCAAGGAAACGGCTCCAGTTTGTGCAACCAGCTGGAGTGTCTTCTCTCAGAGATACATGGTAAAAGACAATGTCACCGGTCTCTGAAGTTGATGGATTAATTTTGTCGAAGACTTATTCTCTTTGATCTCGACATCAAGGCAGAGCTGCAATAGCTGGTAACTGAATGGATCTGTGTAGCTTCGAGCTGCTCTCCAAAAGCCACTAATGGCAATGGTATAATACACACACTTATTTCCTTTCTTTTTTTAAGCAGTTATTGCATTTTTTTTTTTTTTTTTTTGCTGCCCTACAGGTTTAAAAGATGAAGTCACAGCAGAAGTGTGTTAGTGTCTGAGTTCATATTCACTATTTGTCTCCCTCTATTGGCTGACTCATCAATCATATAGTAAATTAAAACATTTCTAATCATAGAAAACCTTAAAAACAGCATTCCAGTGTAAATTGGATAACTGGTGTGGCATTTATTCTTCATTTGTAGTCAGGGTCTACCAGCATTTAGTTGCTTCACCTCTTTCCTCAGAGTTTAGTAGTGGCACGTGTATTTAGATATTCAGTAACAGCCAGAATACCAGTGGAAAATATCCATGTAATATCCTGTAAACAAAATGTTTAAAAAGTATTTTCAGAAAAATTGTGCTTAAGAACTGACGCATTAACATATCAAGGCAGCATTTGAGGCAGCACTTGGCCTATAACAAATCTTATTTCATGAGCTGGTCATATAAAAAGTGTGCAAAATAATCAGTAACATAGCGAGTGTAATAGTAGAAGTAGAAAGTATGAAGTACCAAAACTGTAAGTACAGCACGAGTAATTATACTTACTGTCCATGGTTAGATTAAAAAACACAACACTCCTCTGTTATCATAAATCCTTTAATATATGAAAGAGGCATATTTTAACACAATATACAGTGTAACAGACCATGTCCCACAGTTTTCATATACATTTCTTTACAAGGCTCCCCACCAGAGTAGACAGGTCTAAACTGAGAGAATGGACGGGTAACATTTTGTTTGGTGTATTGTGCTGCGGTCCGGACACAACTAAAGACTGTCGGTGAAAAATATTCTTGTTACTGAGCTGAACAAAGAGATATTCATAGTGGTTTCTGTGTGACTAAAAGATTTACTAACAACCGTATCCGTCTTGCTCAACTGTAAAACCCATCTGCAACTTAAAATGCTTTTTCGTTCCGGCCGGGTCACGCTTGTGTCTTGATCAGACGTCCTGATAACCAGGTATGGAAATGTCTAACAACTGTGATATTCCTGTTAATAAGCTCACAAACATGTCAATTATTTTTCGGTGTGCTCTGATGGGACTGGCATTAGCACACGATGAGGTAAGACTTGTGAACATCTGGTGTGCTGCTCACTTTTGTGAGAAATATCAACAGAAAATGCCTCAGGACATGAGCAGACTTCAAAGCTTTGAAAGCATAGATTATCTGACTGACAGTGACACTCACTTTGTATTTATATGCATAAAGGATCTCTTTAAAAAGTTAAGTCAAATTATTCATAAATGCATATGCAGCAAATGAAGTTTCATACCAATAAAAAATGAACGAAACCTGGATACTTGTGATGATTTCAATGATACACAGAAATCATCCACATTGTTTACAGCTACTGGGGAGAGATTGAGAACCGAGACATTGCTTAACCGCTTGTTTCTGATGATTTAAATTGTTTTTGATTGCATATAAGGTCTGCACACACGCCTGGAAACAGAAGAAATGGAATGCTCATCTGCTTTCACGCTCGCAAAAACAAATTGAAAAATGTAAAAACTAGAATAACATCTAAAAACATAACCCTTTATTTCACATTCCTAAGCTTCACTTGTCTTGTGCATTGCGATGCATAAGGGTAACGAGAATTTCTGACTGAGCGTGGAGCAGTAGGTCCATGCTGATACAGACTTGTACATTCATGGTATGCTTAAGGCTCCTCCTCGGGAATGATTTAACTGCCCACAGGGAAAGCAGAGAAATTAAGAGGGTGTTTCATAATGCAAGGCCATTATGATAAAGGACAAAGCATAATTAGCATTGTTTTCTCCCTCCCCCTTTTCCCCTACATTAAAGGAATACAAAAAAACAGAATTACACAAAGCTGTTAAAACAAACATACTCCAGAAAGTCACCTCTGTAGTGTCTGCATATTAAAGCCACACTGCTACAACCCATTATTGTGGCATTATTGTCCTTATTACCAAGGTGACTGTCTGATTATTGGCATATCCATCCAGACACGGCGGTGGCTGCAGAGCGAGAGAGAGAGAGCAGGAGTGCTTTTTGTTTAAGAGCTGCAGCTCTGTACTGCAGCAGAACTGACACCCGTGGCCTCCATCTGCCTTCAGCCAGATCCTCAGCATCACTCAAAACGCAGCAGCCCACCATTTTATCATGTACAACAGAATCTTCTCACATGCATAAGCAAAGGGATTTTTTTTTTATGAGGAGAAGGGGCATCTAAGACCCTGAGAAAACACTTCTAATTAAGGGTGATTTTAGAAAAAAAAATGAAAACACTTCAAAGATTTGTTGAACTAATTAATCACACATTATCTGCTTCAACCCACTTTTCAAAAGATTAAACTAGAAAGGTAGTGAGGGAAAATAAACACTGGTTTCATCCTGATCTTCTAGACCCGAGTGGGACAGATTGATTCACAACAGTTAGTGAAATCAAAGAGGCCACACACATATTTAGAAGAACAGAGAGAAATCATGTCACATCAGGCAAACGTGGCAACTTTGGGTGAGAATTTACAAGAGCTGCAAGTTGTGTTTTATCATGTAAATGTTTCTATATTTGATCTGAAGGAGGAGGAAAAAAGTCTGTTCTCTCAGATTGCTTGAGGCTCTTACTCAACTGATTACACCTTAAGCGCTCAGATGAATGAGCGTCTCCTATGGAAACTCATATATTTCAACTGAGAGAAGTCATTAAGACTCACTTCAGTCACTCCAGTACAGATGCATCGTGCTCTTCTGGATCTATTCTACTCCTGCATTCATGACACCGAAATCCAAATGATTGTTGTTTTGTCTTGCGTTGCTCTTCTTTTTTTTGCCAAACGAGCCCTGCGTGTAAAAATACATCAAAATGACAGGCTCTGAAGCAGGTGCAGTCGGATCAGGTAGGGTTCTGAAGAGGGAGCGTGTGGGCGAACGCGACATGCGACATGTCGAGCACAGCACGGCATCATAACGTCCTGTTACTCAACATATATATGTGTGTATATATATATATATATATATATATATATGTATGTATTCTACAGACAGACTCGGGGAAGCAGGAAAAGGTTTGCTGTACTGTTCACAGAATATTAATGCTACTCATCTTTCAACTTATGTGCACTGCAATTCAAAACATGTTGGCCGAGTGTGTCTGGATATGAGCCTGCGTGTTGTCCAGTAAGCCCCACCCACATTCAGGCCTGCGCTGTGTATCTGAGTGATACTGCTACAACCAGAAACAACTGTAGTGGTTAAATGCAGACAGAAAAATATCAAGTGAACCCAGTCATATCAGAAACTACATTCTGTCAGGATGATGGACGAAGATGAAATGCGGTGAGGATGACTTAATGCTGTGATCCAAGAGTCTCTTTCTTTTTATAATGAGCAAAATAAACTGAGTACAAATTGTAAACTTGAGAAAAGAACAAATCATCAGAAGCCTGGAAACAAAAACAACATGGCAAATAGTCCAAATGCTTTCATGTGTTGTTAGCTTGGTTATTGTACTACATATCAATAAATCTAGACAACGTTAAAGCAGCATTCATGTTATATTGAGGCTGTTGCTAATATCAAAAAGGTAACAGCATGTTTTTACTATTCTATTTAAAAACCAGTCCAAACAAAAGACACAACATTGAATTAAAGATAAAAGTGATACTGTAACATTGTTTTTAATTTTTGTTTGACTTCTCATTACAACTGGCACTTTCCCACATAAAAGGGACAATAAATTCACATTTTGGCTATGTAGAAATGCTTTTTGTTATTCTTGGCATTCCTAATAAAATCACAATTATAGCCAGACAAAACCTTGGCAGTTAGCTTGTGGCCAGCTGCTATTATTTGGTCTCCATTTGGACTGCTAACAACATCAACAATAAATTGCTATTTCTCAGCTGACTGATGGGTCGGAGGTAAAACAGGTGCCTGGTGAAGTCAAACAATGAACCCAGATTAAAAATCTGTGTCTATGAAAGGACAGGAAATAAAGGATGAATAGAGGACATCTTTAAACAGACAAATATTCTCATTTTCAATATGTAAAAGGACAAAATGTAAGACAAATGTGGTAACATAAGTCAAGTAAAAAAGGCCCCAAACCAGCAATCCCATGTGCCTGAGGGATGCTCAGAAATAAACAACAATCTCAGCTATCATAAACCCTTTGTCCCTGTATAGCATAGAACTACGATCCTAACCACACCAGGTCATTCCATATAATACAATACAACATCCTTCAGTAAATCTATGGATAATACAATCACTGCAGGGCTAACAGGGCGACTTTCGAGGAACTGTCAGTGTTTTCTGCATTAAGTTAGTCTACTTAAATTCAACAGACATGGATGGAAAAAAAATAGATATGCTTTTAACCGGTGGCAGAACTCGTACATTTTCGGCCATGCCCTGAGGTACTGTGGGGCGGGGTGCAGAAATTCCATGTAGAGAACAGGAAGGAGACAAAAATATCACCGGAAGTTAATGGCACTTTTTTTTTTTTTTTTTACATTTTGAGTAAGAATTTAAATCTCCTGAATTAATATGAAGTTGCAGACTTGACCAGCCAGTGTTCAAAGTCTTTTCAGTGGTCATAAAAGGTCACGATGGAGAGAGAAGAAATGACACGCAGAGGGAATCCATGTGTTTGTTGGCCGGCCCGGCCAGCCGCCCACAATTCCCTACAGCAGGAAGTGGGGACAAGCACGTTAAAAACAGGCTGTTTTGTAGAAGATGTTCAGCCCCTCACTGAGTGGGCAGAGGCTCTGTGACAATGTGACGCTTGACCTAAAAAAAGAGACTTTATTGTCCCTTTGCTATTGTTTTTGTTTTTATGCTTCATCCATGGCTTCCAATCTCCCAGCTGTCAGGAGTCCTTGTGCAACCGCGCCCCAGAAATACACGTCCACAGAACAGAATCAGAGGAAACAGGAAAAAAAATCTAACTATGTAGTAGGCAGGACCGTCCTCTGTATATTTGGGTTAAAATCCCAGATGAGTGGTAAACAAAGTTTTGACTGTTTGGTTTGTGTGGGATATTCGTCTCCCCATTCAAGTGTCACATACAAACAGGGAAGTAAACTCTTTGTGTCTGCACGTATGCAAGTGTGAGAGTGCGTATGTGCTGCTTAGCTCAATGGCAAAGTAGACAGAAGGTTTCTCGGCTCTCCATCTTTAGCTGGACGGGACTCTTTGTGTGCTGCGTTGACCTGGCTGGGCTTGAGGGGCGGGGCAGGGCTCCCTCACATCACCTCTCCTGTCACCAGTTGGCTTTGACAGCTTTGACGTCGCTCACGAGGTTTTGAGCGAGGCAGATACCAAAAATCTAAGGATGAAATCACACAGGACGTTAGGTCAAGTAATACTTACAGAAAAAACCCCCAGATACAGCATGTTACAGTTTTTTTTAAACAGAGCAGACTGCTGTATTGCAGGGGTTTGCTTGATGTTACTGGCTGTCACCACCAGATGGCAGTGATGATACAAACTAACAAGCCAGACATACTGTTAGTTTTAGGTAAACACCTCATTTCAAATGCACTCGGTTTCATCATGTAAATGTTTGCAAGAAAACTGATCAACAAACAAGAACCTCTCACCTGTAAAAGTGCAATACCAACAAAGATTCCAGCTACAATAATCAGGTTGTCCTGAAGCCACTTCTCAAACTGTCCCACGCAGCCCTTAGTGTAAATATATTTCTGCCGGTCCAGGTCCTATTAAAAAAATGACAGATTAGGAGTAAATTAAAATTAAAAGTGAATAAATTGTTTTTTAAAATCACATTCAAATGAGCAGCTCTCAGGGAGGACACTGACCTTTAGCAGGATTTAAACACACATCAGAACTCTGACCTATGACTAATGCTGAACAAAACAAGTAGAACAGATAGCATTTTGCCCACTGACTCCTGTGCTTCCGAGGAGGGCACAGGGAGATACTGATAGCTGAGTCACTCTTAGATTACAACGTGTCAGTGTCATCATAGACATCATAGTGGACATCATAGAAAATATCAAGGCGGTGTATTCAGTTTCTCGGAGGACCCTGTCAGGACTGAGCAAACAGGCAGAGGTTGTTTCCTGCTGCCGGACAGATGGCTGTTTGTGTTTTCTGATTCACATGATGATGAACACGCTCTATTCAGAGATAGACATAAAAAGGTGTAATTTAGAGCTGCAAAGACGCTCAAATGGGGGAGTGAGAATGGGTGTGAACAGGAGCCTATACAATGCTCTCTTTGTTGCTCTTCATGACAAGTCAACCAGGCGAACCCTTTGTTCTCTTGCAAAAGCTGAAAGCTAGCTCACGACCAATGGGAGGTAAAGAGAGCCCCTTGGCGGCCAATAAAAAAGCAGGAAACACTATGTTGTTCTGGCTGTGAACTTCCTCTGAAGCTATTTCAGCCCTCTGCCTTTTCTGTGCTGCTGTCCTCCCCATGTCTCCTGCTCTTCCTCTTCCTCAGCCTGCACTCCATAAACAAGCTGCACAGGAACTTACTGCACATCACTGATGGTTTCAGCACAATGTCAATGGCCAGGGCGTTAGCAGAAGAGCACACAGAGAAAATTAATTCATACCAACTCAGTGGCAGGTGGTTCACTGTATTGCAGTGCGCCTAGCAACAGCAATCTTTCTGACTGCAGTGCAGTGAGTTATAACCACCACACCCACACACAGAGGAAAAGGGAACGGACTGGCATAACCCACTGAGTCGCCAATTACAGAGTGTAGTAAGGCTGCTCTCTAGGCTATAACTGGAGCCTAATTATCCCTGTTAGAAGAACAATCTGTTATTAAGGCAAGAAGCACGAAAGAGGAGCCTGTGTACAACTTAACCCTATACACTCCCTGTGTCTGCTGCGTTGGCCGACTGTTTCTGGGTGCACATTTTGTGTGCTATTAAAAAAGGAACTTTTCAATCAAGAAGGTTAAATAAAGATGCTATAAAATCTAAATGCAATTGGCTCCATTCAGTAGTTTATTTAAACCATTAATTCATTTTTACTCGGGGGGTGAGTCAAGCAATCAAGCCCAATACAAATGAATCTGATTGCCATTCCACCCTCCCCAACTGCTTAGATAGTTTCAATCAAACAGGTTTGCAGCCTGTCCATCAACTCGCCCTCAGGAGTAATTCCACTCAGCAGCTCCACCGTCATTTTAAGCTGAAACGCTGGCACTGCCTGCAAATCATGCTCCACTACTGCCACTGACTGTACCGTGAGTAAGAACTGGCTCTGTTAAACTGCTATAATATTATTAGACTTTTTAAATTATATAGATTTATTTGAGAAAGTTAAAACATACATTTTCAGAGAGTGAGGTCATGACAAGAAAATAATTGGAGAGTGAAGTTGAATAAATATAGGGTCAAGTACATAGAACGTGGTAGAGATTTATAAAGAGATACAAACCCCTTGAAGCCGAACATCATAACCACACTGCGTGTTAATGACATCCTCCTGAAAGACAAACACAAAAATGTGAGCTCACCATTCCAGCGACTGGTCACTGTGTCTGAGATGCTGAATGACTGATTTTAACTCTGAGTGACAAGAAATAAAGAAAGAACTGACTGTTTTGGAGATTAACTCCAGAATAATGGCTATATATCTGAGTCACTTTAATTAAAAAGCCAAAAACATTCTTTAGTACTATTTCTTGTCCTTTTTCAACTATTTTCTAGTAGCTACTCCAACTTTCATTATCAGTTAATCTGCAGATTATTTTCGTGATTAATGGCTTTGTCTAACAAATACAAAAGATATTCAGTAGGGATGTAACGAAACCAAAAACTTGCCGTTCAATAGTATCACAATAAAAAGTTCATGATATATTTATCACAATATTAAAAAACTAAGAAAACTGATGACTTGATAAAATGTCCTTGTACAGCATTTTTTTTTCTTCATATAAACTATTCATTTTGTCGTTGTCTGCCACATTCATCTACTTCATTAACCATTTTTTTATTGGGTCTGAGCCTGTCTCTGTGAAGACGCCAGTTATCAGTGCTTGGCTTGCATGCACAGGAGTTGTCTTCTCAACTAATATGAGTGCCCACTGCTGTTAAAAACTGTGCCCACTGCTGTTAAAAAAACAATACTGTTTATTTAACAAGGAGCAGAAGTACAACATTTTGGAACGAAAAGTAACCCTTCAGACATGGTGCCTAGACCCTAGCATTTCCACTGCAAATGGTACCCTTAAATGTGGGCGGGGCTGGCGTCACTCACTGCTCCGTCCAACACGCACTGTATTTCCTCATTACCCCTGACACGGAGGGAAGTCTGCACCTTGTTTATCGTCCACAGAACGAGGTTGCACGTCGACATTTTCAGAACAAAATGAAACAGGCTGCAGTGAGAGTCTCTCTCCATGGAATACTTAAAATTAGTGGGTTTGCGCATTTAGTCCTTCTCAGACAAGCTCAGGGGTTTAGTGTTGCTGTAGCGCACAGGAACAGCGCTCTGCCTTCGTGCATTGAGTAACATTACAAGTAAACGCTCCACCTTACAAGTTGCCGGCGGTCGGCCCAGTGAATTAAGTTATTTTTTTCTCCGACTCCAGCTGCTGGAAGAGGCAGCAAAACATCCTTTCATTTTATAGTTACAGTCTACTAATGTATAAAACTTGAGTGAAGCCACAACTTGGCCCGCCTGCTACTGACCAATCAACGAACTGCAGTGTTCACTGCTCCACCTCTTAGTACCATATCTGTATGCGAGATACCCCAAAAGAAGGGGTGCCGAAAATGGGGACTGTACAAAACGGTTCTATTGGTACTATGCACAACTTTTCAGTGGAAACAGAAAAAAAGCATACCAAGCTGAACTGAACCACGCCGTAATGCTCGGTGGAAACGGGGCTTTTGTCACAGTTCCACAATGGCACTGAGACATTTTTTTATTGTGAAATTGCAAAATTCAATACATTGTCACATTCCTAATTAGCATAGTTTCATATATATTACAAAAGCATCAAATCTTAACGTTTGAGAGCTGAAACCAGAAAATGACATTTTTGCTTTAAAAAATGACTAAAACCTTTATTCAGTTATCAAGATATTTGAAATTGAATTTTCTGTTGCTTGACTTTTAGTTACAGCTCAATACTAGATAATGAATTCAAACCATGACATACAATTATGCCCAAATAATCATGCATTATTATGATTGAATGACTCACTGCAGGGTCTTTGACACAGCAGGAGAAGGGGACTCCACAGCGCTCCCTACTGGGGTTCAGCTCAGTGCAGTTGAAGTAGATGTTCAGGTTCCAGTCGTCGGGCCCGTGAGCTCCACAGCATGACCACTGAGACACAGCAACAACAGGCAGAGATCAAGCAGCCAGCTCTAGTTAATAGACAGATTTATCTTCTGTGATCTGGTCTTGAAACAGCTCTTCAGACCCACCCACACTCAGGTCAGCGTGGGTGGGTAGCCAGCTTACTGTGGCTGGTAGCAACCACAGATAGTGAGACACAAGTGGCGACACAACAGTGGATCTAATCGCCTTTACAGTACGTCATCACAGAGCCCAGTGTTTACACACGGGACCCAATTATCTCCACTGTCTCATTCATATAATTGGATAATCATTCGAGGGAAATACAATCACATTAATCATGAGATTTACGCCACAACTGCATTGGCTGACTCAGTCTCCTCTCTGCCCAGAACTGAGCTGATTTAAGATCAGCTTTGAAACTCATATAAACAATAAAATTTCTAGACAAGGGAGTGACTTATTCCAGCCAGGAAACATGAGCTTTTTTAAGGAAGTTGGAGTTTTTACTGTAAGTGACATAGAATTTCAGTCAGTAGGTGTGGACTCACATATTCCTGGGCAAAGTCAATGAGATTCTGCAAGTCGATGTCATCACGGTAGGCCTTGACATTATTGTTGATGAAAAAGTTGAGCTGGTCTTTGATCCAGTCTTTAAAGACAAAGGCGAGGATCCCCGCAGTCAGCTCCAAGAAGAAGATCAAACCCAGGAACACAGAAAACTGGAAAGTACATGACATACACAAACAATAAACACACAAGCAGAAAACAATAAATCTGTCACTTCAATTGGGGAATCTGGGTGTGTCAAAGAGAATCAAAGAGAATCCTGTTTTCTAAAGGATCAGAACTCTAACAATATTATTTCTAGCATTATTTTTATAATTAAAAGGACAATGTCACTGATGTAATGTCCTTGTGCAGGTCTGGTTGTAAGGCCTCTCCTGACTTGCTGAGTGAGTGTGGCAACAAAGACCGCAGTCCCAAAGGTGCCGTTATATCATCCCTTTACAGTAAATGTAGGAGGAGACTGGGCTGATGATAAATGCACAAAAGCCACATTAGCTCCTCGCTCTGACGCCTGACTTACTGCTGCTAATGGACATCGGCTGGAGTTAATAGCTACTCAGAATCGCAGCCAGCAACAAGGCAGGTTTGTCTCCGTCAGTCACGTGCAGTTATCAATATAGCTGAGCCCAAACAAAACTCCCAAAATTGTGGTGTCATGGCTTTGGGCTTCTGAATATTTATTAGGGCACAGAGCAACTATCATCACTAGTTTCAGATTGATGCAGATGCAGTTGTTATTTTCACAGCCGGCACCCACGTTGTGCAAGTTGCACCCATCTGTGCTCCCATGGGCATGTAGGTTTTAAAACGAGGTGTGGCTATTCTGAGGTAGCAGGAAGGCATTGCACCACTGATCAACAAAAACCTGGTGTAAAAATCAATGGTGCAGTATTTTCCTGCTATTTAAAGGGCATGTTACTGAGATAGTAAGATGTGCCTTCATAAGCCAGTACACAACACTTGCACACTGTTTGTTACTCACACAGGGATGTGCAGATGGGCTGCGGGTGAGTGAAATAATACATCATTAATGAGGAAAACAATAATTAATTGTTCTCTGAAATGTGAACATAGCAAAGACCAGAGCAGAGCTGCAGAGCTGCTGTGTGACTCCACATTAAGAAAGTTGTGTGTGCATTTATGCATGAGGAGAAGTCTACCTTTGTGGATTATTTCAGAAGCGAACTACTGCTTAAATGTCCCAGCATTGTTTACTGCAGAAACATTTCTGCTCTTACTGCATTACTCTCAGCAGGAAACCGCTTGCTTCTCCAATTTACCGAACACACCAGGGGCAGGCACACCTGGTTGTTAAGGGGAACGGGAGATGATACTCTGTTTGGTTAAAATGATTAATTAAGGGACTAAATACAACACCTTTGCTCCTTGCACCTTACTTCACGCCAAGATTATGCAATGTTTAATTAGCAAAGTGGAGTTGGACATGCTCTAAATGAACCTGTGCCGTGCACTTTAGACTATGTGCTATAGATCATATAAATAGGGCCCTGAGATTTTTTTTTCAGATCAAAAGACAAAACCAAGAAGTGGTGGTGAGGAAAATATTATTTTGACAGAGATAAAATGTTTTGGTGACTTATGAGGCACGGATCAGTGTTTCTAATGAAACAGAACTTGGTTTTGTGATGAGATAACGTGTATTGGTGCCATGCAACCAACCATAGCATTTGGCTCGGATGAGTCAAAGTGACACCTGCTGTAGTGACAGCCTCAGCTCTGGTGTGAACTGCAGAATTTAAAGGGGTGTGAAGTGGCTGGAATGGTGTCTGTGCTCAGGAAGTCGGGAGATGGCTTACAAATTTAAGCAGGGAGGTGTTCTCTCTGAGCGCTCCAATGCAGCCGGCAAAGCCCAGGATGAACATGACCCCTCCTACGACGATGAAGAGCCACACAGGGTCGAAGCCCCCTAGGTCTGTAATGGATGACAGATTGGACAGCACGCCCTGAGGGTAAAGAAAAAAAGACAAAAGAACGCTGTTAAAATTCTGACTGTAATACTTCAAAAAAATCAAACCTTACTATCTCTATTACAAGGTCCCAGCAAAAGTCCTCTCTCAACAAAAACACGTAGTTAACCTTGAAAAGAGATTGTGATATCAAAGAGAAATGGACGAGAATGTAACTAATGCCAAGAGGCCAGCTGGGGTTGCCCTGTTCAGAGATGCAGAAGCACAGCAGAAATACTGTTATTTGATAAGAACAGTATCTATCAAGTGTGTTGCTTTCTAAACAAAATAATAAATCCCCTGAGGTTTTTTTTTTTTATTTTTTATCAATTTATCTACAACACAATTTCACTCCAGCAGATTTTCTGTCTGTGAAACAAGCAACTTTTACCATAAGAGGCACAGTTCAGAGCAAACATTCACAAACACATCTGTCTATCCTCTCCGCGCATCCTGCCCTCACAGCCCCGAGGCCGTAGTGTGTCCAACATGTTTTCCTGTCAGTCTCTGGTCTGCATTATGCCTCGCATTGACAAACAGAAATGACACCCTGACGCCTAAGAGTGGGCTCACTGTGAGATGAGTCAATGTCACACGGCAGCACATAAGGAGGAGGCTGCAGGTTGTGAGAAAAAAACTCTTTAACATAATGCCAGTTCTGTTTCATGCATGATCTCTCAACACCTCTTTCTGTATTTCTCACCCATCTTGAAAGAGGTGCCACCAAGGTCTGTAAATGAGGGCACCTGCTCTCAGTTCTGACATTCTTTCTGCCTCTCACATATAGTGCACATGTCAAACACTTGCAGCTAAAGCCCAAGAAGCTGAAATCTCATACTGCTTAAGTTAAGCTCCCACTGCACTGAGCTTAGGGACAGCTATAGGACAGAGGCATAACTGCATTCTTGTGTTTTTATGGCACTCATGCAGAACAAAGTGCCTTCATTTGAATTTAAGCATGAAGCCCAGAAACAGTGTAGTCTGGCTGAACGCAGCAGTCTAGAAACTAATCATCTTAGTCACTGAGACCCAAACTCACCATTATGCCTTTGCAGTACCCGCTATTCATCATGCGGCCTAATCCCTTTAAATTATTCACGCCGTTCCACCAAGGTACTCCGGTGCAGGCCTATTTGCGCAGAGTTCATGACCAGACGTTACTAATCAGTACATGCTTCCACGCTGGTGCAGCATTTACTGAACAGACTGGTACAATTTCTAGCTAATTAATGAACAAATTGACTGTTAACTCAATTGGAAGTTTTGAATGTGGCCATGATCCACTGCACATGAGAGGTTATTGGGAGCACCTGAAGTTTGTAGCTGGTATACTGTGGAAAATAAACAGTAACCAGTTCCCATGCTAATTTGATGCACTTATTCTGTGACACCTTTGCAAAAGCATTGAACTCCCGGTGGCTATGAGTCAAATGAGTTCATAATTTTGGCTTTATGGCTCCTTGTTTGTAGCTGTGCCTTTCACTAGCTTCTGTTCAACTCTGCAACTATTGGAAAAACATATCGAACAACACTTCAACAGTCACAAATCACACTTAAGATGCAGCAACATAAATCATTTCCTTAGACGACCATGGCATGTTTACCAGAACCATTATAGAGTAGCATGCCTTTAAGTGCTACAAAGCATTACAGGAATAGTGCCTTTATTTTCCACGCCACTTCTCTCAAAAGCCCTGTTTTCATCTAAACTCCCTCCTGCAAATTGTATTTCCAGCTTATTCCCGCCGGAATATGGAGAAGAATTTTAGCTATGCTGTTGAGGCAATTATGCTTTACTTCGGCAGTGCGTGTTTGCGTGCATGTGTTTATACTTACCTTCTCCGCCCATGCCCACAGGCCTATGCCCAAGAATGCGGCTCCTAGTAACTGTAAAACAAAGCACACAGAAGAGGAATTACTGTCAGACGGAGAGCAGCAGTCAAATGTTGACGAAATCAAAGATCTGAGACTTAATAAGCATCAACCAGTATTAAAGATAGAAAAAAACATGCTCTGTGACAAAACAACTGTCTATCAGGACTGCGTGGGTGTGGTTGATCACATTTGATGTACAGTGGGTGTCTCCCTGGCAACATACGCAAACAACCCAACAATTGTCTCTGATAGATCCATAGTAATCCATGACATCACCTTTTTCCAACAGCCTCACCCACATCCAACACGCTACAAGAGCACAGTCAACACACAAATACAGAAATCTCTCAGTGAAAATAACCCTCTCAAACATGCATACAACGGTGTGTTCATGTGGAACCTATCACTTATATACAGAAGCTAATTGAGAAAATTGGCTTTCAGAAACTTTAAACAAAACCAACTTCTGCTAAGATGTCTTAACCTACTATAGACTGAACAATCATTACATCTGTAGATTATAGCATCTTAGAGTCATTGCACTGAGCTGCTTGAGAGGCTGCAGGATCTGATATCCTGGGAGTTAAGGAAAATCCCTTCGGCATTAGCCTCCCATCCCAGTGAAGGATGGATGAATGCAGGGGGACTTTGAAAAGCACCAGGTGATACTGGTGGTACTGGACCACCCTATGTAAAAAAAAAATCAAAAACAATAGTAATACTTCAAGATAATACTAATCAGAAAGCATTCAGTAACAATCACCCATTTCCTGGTAATGTGGTTCTACCCATATAATGTTATTGTCTAATCAACTGCTTAGCTGCCACAAAATGTCATTCCTAAGAGATTTGGGATGGTAATCAACTTAACTGAGGCACACTATAACGGCAGAGCCTGAAATATAATAGCTCCATTGAAATTGGATTAAATCATATTGTTGGGAAGCTGATTAAATCGGGGGTAGCAGGTAAACTGATGGCAATCCGTCAGGGCGCATAACAAGACCAACAATGTGACGGTATGCCAAGCAAAACACCGTGACTGTGAAGGGCAGCTGCACGGTTTGCCTGGTTGTTATGTAACTGGTTGTAGTGAAGGGTGTGGTGGCTTCAGCTGGAAAGAGACATGAGGGAAGAGTCAAGGTAAGCATGTGGAGATCAGGTAGGGGAGATTAGACTGACGGAGTGGGAGAATTAAACATTTAGCCTCTGACTCTAAATAATCCACGTAGATTAAACGGAGAGCGCAAAGAAACAAGACGGAGAAAACAACTCTCACCTTATAGCAGGGAAACTACTATTACGCAACTCGATCTAAAGTATAATATTATAGAGCAGTCCTCTAGATATTGAGGATAATTACTGGTTGTGAAAGCTTAATCACGGATAATTATATAACATTATTTAACTATTTTAATGTTTAAAGAAAATCTTTAAATGTTGGCAGCACTCTTTGATTCTACACTGTGAACATTAGAGGTGGTATATTTTGACATTTTGACACATAGACGCTAGCTTAAGACAGACTTTGTTATTGAAGGAATCTATGTACATTCAGGACAATGGTAAATTTATTCTCTATTATATCAAAATGTAAATACACAATTTAATTTGGCAATGACAGGGATTCAGATTCAGCAATTAGTATTTTGGTATGTCTCTTTGGGTAAGCCAACATTATTATGAAAAACACTTCCGTATGTTAATCTTGGAGGTATTGTGTTGTTTTTGTGTTCTGCCACGTTTGGTGTTGTCAAGTTACGTACTTATGTGACGATGTGACATGATGTACACAAATTAAAATATCTCTTGGGTCAATGTCTTGCGTTTGTTTGATCTGTCCACCGCCACGAACTTTCTCCCTACACAGACTTCTTCCCTTTTTACACTACACCGTCTGACTTTCTTCTAAATGTCTTTCAAATGATGGAGAACAGCCTGCTGTGCATAGGTCAAATGATCACAACCTCCTGGCTCACGGTTACGTGCAGTGAGTGCTTTACTTTTCATAAGTTTAAGTACCAACAATGAATGAGAACAGCATGTTGCAGTATGTACGATATGCAACAAGCTTAAGTTGTATTTGGTAACATTTCAGTTGGGAGCACTAGGCAGCACACGCAATAGTTTTACTTTATCTTCAAATGAAAAAAAAAAATCATGTCTGGATGTCATTACCTCAAGCGTTGTCAATCACAGTAAGACAGCACAACATGACACCTGTACGTGTGATATAAAAAGTTCTTGGCTACAATTTCTCTTTCTGCCTTCATTCAAATTCAGGGCCTGGAACATTCTAAGGAATTAGCCCCCAACAGAGTGTCCATAAGAGCACCTAAAGGCTAAACTGAGCTTGCACCTTCTTTCCAAGTGAGACGTAGAGTCCAAAATCGAAACTGCATTAAAGCAGCACTTAGATTTTCAACTTTTCAGAGTTCATTACCAGTAAGTCGCCTTCAAATGGGCAACAAAATGGCTTGAATTTTGAACACTTGGTGCCAAGTTATTACTCAACATGACTGTTATATGAACTGCATAATGCCACTCCCAACATCAGATATGAAGTGTTAAAATGAGGATCTGCTGCAATCCTACTGAGGGTGTTGTACTAATTTTGCTTATTGCAGCATAACAAGGGAAAAAAAACATTTTCTAGTAAATGTCTGCCCACTGACAAGTTCTTTGTGTCCCATTTGCACAACGCTGCCCTTAACAGGAAATCAAGAAGAGATGATGAAAGTTTGATGTGTTATCTCTGTCTCACATGAAAGCTCGCATTTCTGTAACCATGATTAATATCTAACATTGTCACGCTTGGGACACATTTATAGTTGTCATAAGGAGCAAAAGATCATTAAGAATGGCTTGGATTAAGTATCCATATAATGTGAGGGAGGCAGACATTTCTGGTGATACCACAGCTGTAGACATGCAACATAGAGAGGACAAAGAGCAGAGAACCCAAACTGACTGATGACATGTATCATGGAGGTTATTATGCAGTATTGTGTGTAAAGTATGGGCATCTAAAATAACACACAAAACTACTTATGGCTAATTGCAAATCATCAATAGCAAAATACCCTGGTGCTTCAGTATGGGCGCATCAAAGTCTCTTTTTCCATCTCTCCTTCCTGCTCCCTACTGTGAACTATCCAACAAAGCAGACAGAAAAAAAAATCTTTTTTCACTCTGGTGCGTCTAAAATAAAACACCAGCCAGACATCAGAAAAATACTTCTATTATATGGCCAATTTTGTTATTATTTCCGGTCAAAAATACCTCAATGCACGTCAAGTTGCATTTCCCCCTGCTAGAGCTTGAGGTGACCTTGAAGGCAACATTAATGGAGACAGCTATGGCAGTATCATGCCTGGTACCCTGTCATTTTGGTTTACTATGTCTGCCGCTATTTCTGAATAGTTTCATTAGTTTTACTTAAAAAATACTCAATGATTGACAGCAAGTCACGATTAATATGTTGTCAATTTAAGCAAAATGTCTTTACTTTTTGATCACACACTAAAAAAGACAACTGTTCCCTTTAAGCATCACTAGGCTGTGTTGTGAAAAGTCTGTTACTGTGTAAGCCTAACACACTATTCAACATCTAAGTATATTCTGTATTATGTGCCTTGTTAAAGCCCTATCTGTAAACCAAACTTCCCTCATGGGACAATGAGGTTTGGATTGAAGTAGAATTTGACTGAATGAATACATTGAAACCGAACTGAACCTGCCTTTGTGCAGTCCTTGCGTTATTTCCTTTTATCCAACTTTTCCCACAGTGTGAGCAGCCAGAGTCAAATTCAGGTCAGTCGGTGGCATTGAACCACACCACCTGTGCTAAACTCTGTCAATGCTACCCTGAGACTAAAATGTCCTCCAGATAGTCAGTGGTGGTTACTTGAATAAGATGAAAGAGAAAATGATGCTAATTTTACACGAGACTCACATTTGTCTGCTTTGTATCTCTCGGCAATTAAGCAATAAATCCAAGCACAGTGCTGCGTCTTTGTTTGTTCTTGCTTAGTTCATACTTCATTGCTTCTGTTTATTTAGTGACAAGATGCTTTAAACCCCCCTCAGGATTTGTTTCTTTAAATCTCACCTGCTGTAGTGAGTAATTTGTTTGACTTTCTTCTGTTCATTTTTATCATTCTATCTAATCTATGTGCTTTTATCACTGAGCAAATAAACAAAGTCCAGAACTCGATGTCCCCGAAACTGCCTCGTTATTCAAATCGGGCTGTTCAGGTTATCCCACTGTCAAGTGCTGCTGCAAGATGTGTGTGTCCCAGAGCGAGGGCCTCCTCTCCATGTGGACTGAGAGATTATCAACACTTGAGAAGACGCCTCCCTAAGCCCAGCTGATCCCATTAACCTCAACTAACTAGCAGACAAACCAAGCTCCACGCTGCCTGGACACACACAAATACACAGGGTATAGATTTACTCGAGTGTGACTGCCCTTTCGTTGACTCCCTAATAAGCTGAATCTCTAATTTGGCCAACGGTGTGAACACAGCCATTCTTGATGATATGATATCAGCAGCACTGCCAGCAGGGGAAAGATGATGTGAAGCTTCCACATATTTTGCATTCTACACTTGATACCACAAAATAAATCTATCAATCTGGCTGATTTATTACAACAGCATGAAACTAAAACAAGCTGCATTGCCAAAATGCATCTGGACTTGACTGGGTCACTCGAGGCTGAGGCTTTAGGAGGGAGGAGGGAGGAGGGAGGGAAGGTTAGGTCCTGTTCAAAGCTTTTATCTTGTATCCAGATATATCCACATATGGTATAGACCCAAATAAGACTGCACTTGACATGGAGTATCAGAACAGAAATCAAAATGAATCAGAAAAGAAAAGTTCCCTGTGAGCGGACTTTGCCTCCTTGTTCACATTTGATTTTATCTGTGGGAAAGGGTGAACACTACTGAACTGAAAAACATACACATCTGTCCTCAAACATAAGACTAGAAAAGAGGAAAAATAGCTGTTATTTGGTGCGTTGTCTTGGATACAGACATCAACTGCGTTCAGGAGGTTTAGCATGTTATACAGTAGGCGTGTAACTAACAATTATTCCCATAAGTAAACGAAAAGCATCAAATGCTCAGATTAAAGAAACTGGAACCAGCACATTTAGCATTTTTGACTGAAAAACAACTTAAATGATTAATTTGTCGAATGACTAATCGATTAACTTATTATTTCAGCTCTACTACGTGGCAATGTCAACTATGCTTTCTCTGAACGACATCAGAGATGCATGTGTACACAGCATGTGGGAACATGAGCCCCTGTCTATCTCTAAATGTAGCTTGAGTGATGTGTCCTCAAATGGCCTCATTCACGCTTCTTTACAGCTGTCCACCTGTGAGGTGATAACCCAGCGTTCATTTTAGACACTTTTGGCTGCAGCTGGCTAATACCACACAGCTGCAGCCAACCAACTCAGCAACTTGGTAACAGCTTAACAAGCTCTTAATTACAGCATGCAGAGCTTCCAAACATTTCAGCAGCTCAGGCAGAAAATATGATTAATTAGGTGAATGTGAGGAATTTGTCTATTGTACGGACGAGAGAAGGTATGTTGTTCTTGGGTGAGAGCATCTCGCTGTCAACAGCTGCAAGCCTGGGCGCTGGAGGAATTCACACAGAAAGGAAGGCACTGGGCTTTACTGCTCTATTTTGTTCACAAAATTTAGGGTCTTACAAGCATTCTGTCTCAATTTAGGCAGTGTTTTCAAGCCTGACAAGATCACTATGGGAAAGACAAATGGGTTGATTTGTGGAGAATAAACCCCATCTCTCTCTATTTCAGCAATGCACTAGCTTGTCTGTCAAATCCTGTTTCGCAGCACAGAGACAAGGGGAGAACATCTTCAAGCGATTATTAAAGGAAACAGCCAGCGAGCTGGAACTTGTTCTACAGTTTCGCAGAGAGCGCAGACACAGGACTGTTAGCTTGGCCTGAGTGTCAAAACAGTCTGAAAGAACACAATATGAGTCAGACACAACACTACAGCCCTATGACTCAATATTTCCCGGTTGATTGCTCAGTCCAATTGAATTACCAAGAACTTTTTCATTTGTGAGGCCAATTGTAAAATGGATTTGTGCATTGCTCTTTAAAAAAAAGCTCTGACTTGTGACATGTTTGGCAGTTCATATCACCACAGCTTCACACAAAAAAATTATAGAGATTGTGACACTCCTACACCTTGAAGGGGAGTGTTAAGGAAAGAAGAGGTGGTGATTAAAGGAGAAGAAATATGAAGAGATCATGTTGCATGTGGATCCCATGTGCCAGATGAGTCCGTCAGAACAAGCATACGAGGGGAGAAAACACAGAATCACACCCGGTCCTCCCCCCTCAAGTCTTTGTTATCATTATTCCTCTTTGTGCGTTAGTGGGTGTGTGAGCGAGCGAAACAATGCTGTCCCACAGAGCCCAAGCACTATAGTGGTGGAGGGAGTGAAAAGGGGGTGCTTGAAAAGGGGAGGGCTGGGTGGTATTCAGACCCGTGTGGCCTTTTCCTTCCAACAGTGTGTGGGAAGACCCTCTGGGGCACACAGACACGCCATTCCTTCACCCACAGACTTTATAATACACCAGGCACACAGACGCAGTGCAGACGGGTGAGGAGGGAGGGGTGAAGGAGGCTCAACAGAGGAACTTTTCAGACTGAGGAGAAATTAATATGGGGGGGGGCATTGTGAGGGGGATTGTGGGCTCACTTGCCACTGGCCTAACAATACAGATGAGACTTGTGTCATTTCTCAAACTTTACCACAATGGTACCAATCATCACTGCCAAGTCAGAGCAGGAAGAAAAACTAACATCTGCCCAGCTTTTGTCTATGGCAGTGTGTCTCCTCCAACCAAACCATCACTACTCGCCTCTCACAACCAGAGAACATTTACAGTGTCTTTAAAGGAAAACTTACAGCTGCCTACTGCTCAGTAAAGAAAAATACTTGAGAATAAGTGGTTTGCTTATGTTTTAAAGCCCTTACAAGAATGTTTCAAAGACTTAAAGCACACCTGACTACTTTCCCCACGCCAAACATTAATTAGTGACTTCCTCAATCAAGTAAACACGCTAATCTGTTACGCAAGTTGCCACATATAAACAACAATTACATTAGAGCACAAACAACACATGGCAGGAGATAAACTAATTTAATCCATTTATAGTAGCCTCAAAGATCAGGAGATCATTTGAGTTCACATTCGCCAACACCAACGGTGCTAACGTTAAGCTAACTTTTCCCTGTATATTTAATGAGACTTTCAGTTAGCAGGATTAGCGTTATTTTTCTTACAGTACCGACTGGTAAATGACACAAAAACTGTATATACTCACCCAGAATAAAATGTTGAATCCAAAAAGGAAGTATTTCACACAGCAGCTGACTTCGGCTCCTTTAAAATGATGGTGTTTTCTACTCATTCTTCCAGGGGTAGTGGTGGCTAACTGGTAAGCTAACTAGGTAACTACTACGGTTGGTACTTTAAAAGCTCAGCCAAAGCTGCAGTTCTTGAACTACTGAAGCCGAGGTTGGCTGGCTCCATCGGCTACCAAACGCCGAGCATACTCGCCGGGACAGCGTTAAGTAAATCAAACATATGCGGCTAATTATCGTTTCCTTGCTTTAACCATTAGCACGCTAGGCCAGCTAGCTCGGAACTTCTATGGTTAGCATTAGCGGCTAACAACAACAAATGCAGGGGCAGTTAAGGCACAGACATTCATCTGCAGTTCAGTCGATATTCAAGTTGCCTGGCGTTTGTTTCGTAGCGCACAGCCGGAGATAGAGATAAAGCTGATGGCCTTTCAACTTAACGTCTCCTCGATCATGTCTGTTGCCGCATCGTCCCATGAAATCTTCATCCTTGTTGTTTTGTGCTGTAAAACAAGCCCCTGCTGTCAAACGAGGAAACCACTGCGCTGGCTTTCGCCCTTTTCACCTCAAGAGCGGCCTCTTGTGTCCTAATGGAGACTTTCACTTTTCACTGGGTGGACAGCAGAAGCAGGGATAGATAAAAACATCCTAATTTTACTCCCATAAATTGAGCAAAGAAAGTAAACGCTGAGTTTCAGGTTAATATATGCACAGGTGCAGCTGGGATTGCAAAGGTTTATGATTTAATCCATGCAAAACAGAAAATGATCAACAACAGTATTTTAATTACACAGCTCACAGGCTTCCATACAGCTGCAAATTAGCTCTATTTATCAATATATTACTATTCTTTATCTTATAGTCCATCACAAATCCGTGCAAAAACAAGAGAGACAGAGGAGTCGTAAAAAGGAAGCTGCTCAGTTTATGAATATAAACTCCCAAACCTACTGTACAGCTGCTGACTATATGCCACCTTATTTGCAGCTCTCTTGCAAGCCTTTCACTTTTTGAGTTGAGTATGTGTGATATCTAACACCCGGATATCACCTCTTTTCCATAAACAAAGTGTCTGCGCCAGAATCACATGGGATGTAATAAGTGAGCATTCAGGTCAGCAGGAGTCTGTGCACATGCTCATCATACTGTGACTGGAAATGAAAGATTACTGTAGCTATGATTAATGTAGACACTGGGAAAGCATAGGAGTGACAGACATTTCGACTTGTCAAAGCAGGAAAAGCACAGGTGTCAATGATAACATGATTCATTCCCTGCTGCTGTGGCATGTTAAAATCACTGCAATGAAAAAAAACATTCATCCTTACTTTGATAAGGGGATACTAAAGTGAAATTGTGTCTTCAAATTGCATCTAATCTCACTGCTATGATTAATTCTTGACAAAAAATAGAGGCCATTAGAGGATATACAAAATGTGTGTCGGCTTATTTTGTGAAACAGCTGCATGTCAACAAACAGTTCACACTGTGTCGCCTCATTTGAACTTCTGTCAGGAGTCCTACAGATGGCAGTCTATGAACCTGTGATAAATGTGGCTTTGGATTTCTTTTCACCCTGAGGAGTTGCTCCAAGGGACATTTCAGTCCTTTAACTATCACCTCAAATATGTAGTATGTTGCACTGACAGTGAAGCGCAATACAAGACTGTCAAACCAAAGAAGTATGTATGCAATTATGGTGGGTGATTCTGCACGTACTTAACTTGTGAGTCTATTCAAAGGGTATTCATCTCGTTTTTATGTATTATGTCTAGTTATCATCATAGCATCTCATTCCAACTATTAAACTGCATCAATACTAAGTCAAGGACCATGCAGTTTTTATGGAGTGGCTGAGATGCATTTAAATTAAAGACATTTACACCATAAATTGATGCAGAATAGCTACAAATTGGTGCATAAACATTCACCAGAATGCAGGAAATAAAGTGTTTGATGTTCAAAATGGCAGAGGACCCCCAGCCCCCCTGTTTCACGTGTCTCCCCCCACTGTTGAAACCAAACCTAAGCCCTTGAGTGCATTAAAGGGTTATGTAAGGACCAGCTGAAATATGAATCCTAAATTTTGAATGGCACTGTACAGGATTACTGCAGCCCTGAATTTGTCACATACTATATTTTTATCCTTATTACTACATAAGGATACATTAATTAAATATCAAAACACTAATTTAACAATATAAATGTGTGGCACTATAAATTTAAAGATAAAAACTACTACTCCAGCTTACACTATTTACAATTATTACTTGATTAATTAAGGGTGTTATTAAGTATAATAAGAGACTAACCATACATTGTCTTAATTTGTGTGTCATCACCTTTTATTTTGCATTTGTTTTCAGACATCATACAGTTATGAAATGAGAGAAAAATGGGATACAAATGCAGGCATGCAATCACAGAACCCCCCCCCCCCAAAAAAATCTGCTTGCAAAAGTCCAAAATGCAATGATTTGAGGATGTCGGTGGTGTTTCGTTTGTCCAAAGGTGACCCAGGTTGAAACCAATCCGTGACAGCAATAGGCTTAATCCTGCTGAAAGAGCCAGGTCACCGTGTTGCAGGTGTCTCTGTCACTCAAAAGACACATAGAAGTAAATATTTAGAAATGTGCTGATGCTTTTGGCCTACATGTCAAGGAGTGTAGGAATGATCTGTTGTGTGTGCTGGTCCAGGAGTAGGCAAGATGGGAATGGTTTAAAATGGATGAAACAGAAAGCCAGTTGTGTTTTGAAGGCAGCAGGCAGGTTTACAGCTAATTGCCACCATCTTGCAACATAATGTTCTCAGTGTTACGGTCATTTATATGTGTATTGTGAACGACACCTGTTTGAGCAAATCAAGTTTTAAACAATGCCATTGAAATGGAATGAACAGAAGTGCAAATCAAGTATAACAAGAAACTTCAGAAGTTAAAGAGAATGCACATTAAAGTTAAGTGTGTATTTAAAATACAGTCCATTCCTCTTATCCTTTTTTTCCCACAAACACTTCGGTTAATATTTCACAACATACAACATTCTTCTCACCTTTTTTCCCACGAACATTTAACAACATTTAGTTGTACCTTCTCTGACATACGCATTTGCTCCTAAACCTCATCCAAACAGGCACTTTGTACAATAAGTACAGGCACAAAACGTTAATTGTTCCTCATGAAAGACATAACAGGTGGTCCACAAAAAAACTCAGGCATACAAACATTGGTCTTCAATATGAATATTACAATCAATATGCCATTACATGTTGATAGCTAATATTTGTTCACTGAATTTGTAGTCATCGATGTTTAAACCAGTGGTGTCAAACATACAGCCTCTGGGCTAGAATCGGCCCATCAAAGAGTCCAATCTGGCCCAATGGATGACTTTGCACACCTAATATTGATGCACTTGTGAAGGCTAAGATGTGTTAAACAATAAGTAGCCTACTTCATGCAGTTTTCCGCCATGACCAGAATACAGTTCTCTGAAAAAACAAATACTTATTGTGGTCCTATTTAAAGATACTGAACATTGTGCAAAATATTGGCAACTAGCAGCTTCAGTACAAAAAAATCTGTATCAGACTTATATCTGAAAACAGTACTGGTGGAAGCCTATTGCTAAGGCACTGCCAAATCATTTGATTTGAAAATGGTTTGTAAGGCAGGGGATAAGTTAACCTGCTTCCTCAATAGCTTTCACTTAATGCTGGTTGGTGATGCCTGCATTACTACACAGGAGTGGAAATGTACGGAAAAATGACTGTGAGTATTAGACTCACTGAATATGGAAAAACTTAGAAACGTGGAGGGGTTGTTATTTATAGGTTATTATGCAATAGTTCTACTGGTCCAGCCCACTTGAGATCAAATCAAGATGTATGTGGCTCATGGGCTAAAATAAGTTTTATCACCCCTGGTTTAAACAAAACAAAAAACCTATGAGTCTTTTTCTCCTGAATCATGGAAACAGTGTTTGATTAATCAGGTGCGTCAATGCCCCATCTAACCTCCACATAACTCTGCATCTCCTCATCATTCTCCGTCAGTCTCTCTGTAAAGCTTACATTCATTTTAGCAAATGCAGTACATGAAGCAACATATAACATACATAACATACGCTGTGTTAAATTGATTATTGCACTGCGATAATTATGCATATGATTTATTTCCTGTTGATTAAAATGGATAATAAACTGTGGTGAGCACTGTGAACATGCATGATAAAGTGAACAGCATGTGTCCCAGCTAACACTGTATCTTTGTCATGGGAAAACGTTATGGAAAATCATTTTACCCAACTAATCTAAGGCATTATTCGCTGTATAGTTTAATTTGATCCTTTACTGTACAGTCCAATGAGCTATATATTTACACATGACTTTTTTGTGTCCCTTCTGTACCTTAAAGGGACAGTTCACTCTTAAATCAAAAAATAAATGTTTTTCCTCTTACCTGTAGTGCTATTAATTAAATTAGATTGTTTCAGTGTGAGTTGTCGAGTGTTGGAGATGTCTGACCCCTCTAGAATATAATGGATCTTAATGGCACTCAGCTTGTGGTGCTCAAGGCGCTAAAAAAATACATTTGAAAAGCTCAACAGCAATGTCACTTCACAGAAATAACGACCCGGTCACTCAAGATAATCCACAGACCTTGTTGTGAGCAGTTTCATGTGGGAAGTATTTACTTTCTCCTTAACTGTTTACAACTCATGCTGTCACCAGCATGAGCCTCTCATTCATGAGAAGATGCACGCTAGATGAATGCAAGCAGGTGGCTAGCATGACTGTCACAAATTAGCAGTAGTGTTGGTGTGGCCTTCCCGTGGCGAGTTCACAGACTTGTGTGAATATATGACTCGTCTGCTGAGGCCAAAGTCAGGGTAATAATCGCTCTGTGTGCCGGTCTTTATGAGGTTGAAATGTGGCGTTGAATGCTTATTTAATGAACGTGTCCATATATGAAAAGGTAGGATTTTTTTGGTGCTTTGAGCGCCACAAACTGAGTGCCATCTAGTTCCATTGTATTCAAGAGAAAGTAGACATCTCTATGGCCGATATCTCCAACACTCTGCAACTCACACCAAGACAATCTAGACTGATAAACAACACTACACGCAAGATGAAAAAAATGTATTTTTGATTATGGGGTGAACTATCCCTTTAAAATGTTTTAAGTCTCTTCCCATTTTGACTTGCATCAGACAAGCAAACATATTGATAATTCATTAATAACATTTCAAAAACAATTAACTTAAATGTTATCTAACTGGAAAAGTGTCTGTGAATGTGAGTTTGTTGTGAAGGCGTAGAAAGTATAACATTAACTGAAGTGAATTCAAATATCTTTGGTTACTGTATTTTGAGTCTTTTTGGTATGTAAGAAGCGTACAAGCCACAGCAACTGCATTAGGTAAAAAGCTTGTTCTTGTCAGTCCATACTATGAATGTGAGTCATATAAAATACTAATTCTACCTTAATACAACATTTACCATTGTCCAAGATCGGTAATCAAAGTTACAGAAAGGTATCTTCTATTAGTCTGATGAAATACCATCAGAAACTCTTACTGGTTGATCCAATGCCCCAAAAAGTCTATGAAAGCGGAATTCGTGCTTTGACTGCCTTCCAGAAACACCCTCACAGGTCAGTGGAGACGGTGCTTCGCTTCACCCTCAGGCTACCTCCCCAGCCGCGGGGGCAGGTGTTGTAGGAGTGCAGGCCAGGCGATCGGAGGCCTGAGTCTTCAGACTCAACAGAGGCATCAGAGTCGGTGAGAGACCGAGTGTTGTAGAGCCTCACAGGAGAGCAGATCCTCTGTGTGGGGGTTTGGGGAGGGCTGGTGAAGGTAGGGGACTGGGCCTCAAATGCCCGTGACTGGAAAGGGCTGATGGGTGGTTTGTGACAGTCATAGCCATGGTGGGAATTTCCCAGAGGTGAGATGGGGAGGCTGTGACCGCTCAGTGCTCCAGGGGAGGGGCTGTTTTTACGTTTGGCTGCATTGATGATGTTCTTGGCCAGCAGACGATGGTTGGCTTTAGAGTCTGGGTTGTTAATAATGGGGGACATGCAGCGACTGTCTTTGGGTGGGGGTGAGGTGGCAGAAGATGTGTACAGAGGTTTAGTGGTGGAGAAGGACAAACTGGTATGAGAGAGTGCAGGAGACTGGGAACGTGAGCCCCAGGGAGGAGAGACAGGAGATGTGACTGTGGATGTTTGGGATGGTCTGGATGAGGGAACAAAGGAGATGGTGGAAGACTGGGTATTTTGGCTCACCATAGGGGACTGGCATCTTGATCCCCAAGGAGAGCGAGGGGATGTGGCTGTAGATGTCTGGGAGGGTCTGGGTGTTGACGTGGAGGTGACAGTGGAAGACTGAGTATGTTGGCTTACCATTGGGGACTGGCATCTTGAACTCCAAGGAGGAGAAGTAGTCGTAGAAGTTTGGGATGGTCTGAAACCAGGTGTGGAGGAGATGCTGGAAGACTGAGTATTCTGGCTCACCATTGGGGACTGAGATCTTGAACCCCAAGGAGGAGAAAGCGGAGAAGTAGCTGTAGAAGTTTGGGATTGTCTGAAACCAGGTGTGGAGGAGATGCTGGAGGACTGAGTATTCTGGCTCACCACTGGGGACTGACATCTTGAACCCCACGGAGAGCGTCGAGACGCGGCTGATGTTTGGGGGGGTCTGGATGCTGCAGTGGAGGTAGCAGTGGAAAACTGGATATTCTGACTGGCCATAGGGGATTGGCATCTTGTGCCCCTGGGAGAGGATACAGGGGAAGTAACGGAGCGACTGGAGATGGTGGTGGAGGGCCGATTACTTTGGAGGCTGGGAGTCCAGGCCCCAGTGGGGCCCTCTGGGCTGCTGAAACGTCTGGTGAGGCTGGGCGTCCAGGTTGGCGTAGGAGTCTCAGTGGGGGTTTCAGCTGGTGAGGAATCCTTTGGTGTCTGTTGGACCATAACAAACAATGTTTTTTTAGACCCTTGGAAACATACAGTTGGAAATACAACTCACAAATCTGCAAAAATAAGAGACTGCAATACAACTTTCGTAAAAATAGATGTCCTCATTATGTAAATTCTGAAGTTTCAACCATGACCAAGATATTTTGTTCTGCGTAAACTCAAAAAAGACCAATATTTTTCAGTAACACATACCCTGACCTTTTTCAGTAAGACGCATTTTAATTATACTTTATGAATCTATTTTGGTAAAATGTTATGTATCTGTTATGCCTGAGCCCCAGTGGCACTCAGGTCATCTCTCTATACTCCCTTCTTCTTCTCCATAAGCCTGGCTGTCAGTACACATAGGCCAGGTCTTTAGTGTCTCTCTCAGGTTTCTGTCATCTGGCCTTCCTGAGGTGGTTAACCTTTACGGGGATATGAAGTTACTCGACTGGAGCAAGGGCAGCATTCCATCTTATGCACATACTAATTATGAGCAAACTATCTCCACTCATAATAATAATATGAAGACTGTCTTTAGAGAGAACAGCCAGGCTCAGTGTCCTGAGAAGTTATGGTCTTAATGTTACCGGTTACATTTCAAAAGTTCAGGGCATCTGTGAAAGATGCAAGGTCGAGGTCATAGTTCAATCCATTTGTTTGAATGTCTGAGACCAAGGGTCAGGTCTTAACACTAACTCACATAACTCTGATTCTCATAACAGTGTAACATGTCTTGCAATGAAAAGCTGAAACAGTTATTTAAATTTAAATGTCACATACTGTGTTCCAAAATAGATCTGCCCCCTGCTGCAAATTATCTCTATGCTTAACAGAGGCCTAGCATTTATTAGCGTGTCCAAGTGTTTGCCGTGATTGCAGGAAAGGCAGGAAAGTGGAATAACAAACACATAACAGTAAAATTAATAGTTGAAAGAAGCCAGTGAAGTCAGGAAATGAGAAAAAGGAGAAAGAGGTCACAGCAGAGTGTTAGCATAAAGTTTTAATCAGAGAAAGAAAGACTCACTCTCACACAGAAAAATCAACCGTAAAAGACAGGATAACAGCAGGAGAGAGCAGTGAATCAAAGTTTATGAAATGAAACAAAACCTGTCGTCTAAAACAACAGTGATTGATGATGTCCTGTGGAAAAAATATATTTCTGGAATTACTACTTTAAGTCACGAAAACAATATATATGTAGGTCTGTGATGCAAATTAGTATGCAGCCTCCAGATATGAAACATCAAAGAATACAAGTACACACCGTATATTTAGGTAAAAAACGCTGCAAAGTGGAGTAAATTACCCTCAAGACATAAAGACATAAAAGGAGTTCTCTCGCTGCAACTTTCATGTCAGCGAGCTGCATTAAATTGCAAATCATAGATCATAAAGCAGATGCCAGACCATCTGTTAAAGTGCTTTGTGAAGCAGCATCACCCTGGTGCCAACAGAATTGGGAGACAAAGTGGAAAAAGTGTGAGGTTGTTTCTCATCATATTTTAAAACATACTGAAAACTGAAGTATTTTAGTGCTGACGTGCTTAGCGGCTTTGGGTACAGAACTTATCTGATTACATTAAGGCACATTTTTATTCTAACTGATAGTTAATTACTGCTGTATGGACGTTTGTTACTGTGGAACAAATACAATTATAAATTCACTTAACAATTAAGATGTATTCCCTTTGATAATTTTGTAAGAAACAGACAGTTGTTTTCTGTGAGGATTAAAACATTTCACACGTAAAAAGATTCCACTCTGTTATATAACTACAAAACTAGAAGAAGGCACGAATTGAACAAAAAAAAATGTAGCAAACTGTAAACTCTAGCCCAACTAAAACTAGTTTCAGTTTTTCAACCATCCCTCAGATGTAAACACATTTTTTAAAAACGGTACAGAGAGGGTCTCCACACCTGCGGTGTAATCCCTGCATTCTTGGCAGAAAATTTGGGCCTCGGTGCCTGGATCCCTGACCGAGGAGAGGATACTCGCTCTGGAGAAAAGGCTGGAGAGCTGATCCTTGGCTGCCCATACGCTGGATTTGGTGGATATTCTGCTCCTCCTCCTGTGGGGCTGAGGGGCAGCTGTGGAGACATACACTGGGCACTGAAGTGAGAAGGAGGGTTATTAGGTAAGGAGGTCTGTCGAGAGAAAGGCTGGGTAGATATCAGGTTCTTGGACTGTGGCGCTCCTTTGGGTAGGGTACTCATGGGGTCCTTGACTGGGTTAAGGATGAAGAGGGAAGATGAAAGCTGGTAGGGCCGGTGCCTTGACAAGTCCATCTCTATCTTGGAGCAGCCGTTTTCTAGAGGAGGAGGTTCTGGAATTGGCTCTGGCGCTGGAGCTCTTTGCCTTGGTTTTTGCTTGACTGCTTGTTGGGCCTTTACGTTTTGTGAAACTTGAGCGCTCATGTCAGAGTTTTTAGCCATGGCTTTGACCCTGCCGGGCATGTTTGATGGGTACACCCAAGATGGTGGCAGCGACATTGTAGGAGAAGGAGACCTCCTTTGTCCTGCATTTTGCTTCTCAATGACATATTTCTCCATCCTGGACTGACGCTTGGCAAACAGTTCAGCCCCCTTTCCTGATACATTGGTGAGGGTCTGCTCCGGCCTGTGCTCTGCCCTCGGACGGGTCCTGGAGGTCTTGAGGCAGGAAGCCCACTCTGGTGCTATTGCCTCCTCGGCCCTTTCCTCCTCCTTGGCAAGAAAGTTGGAGGCCTCTGCACCTAGCGCCAATAGCTCTTCTTCAGATGCTGGCTCAGGCACAGATCTTTGTCCGTGTTTCTTCCTTTCATCCGCCCCCTGCACCAAGGAGAGCAGCTCAGGGTTCGGAGCTACCACGGTCTTCTCTTTGAATGTGAACATTGACTTCCTACTTCCCCTTCTAGCAGCACCCTCCTCCAGTATTCCTGTTTTAATTTGTATTATCGGCTTCCTCTCTCCAGCAGGCTGAGGAACGAAGGTGGAGGGCTTTGGGGCTGTGGGAGGGCCGTAATGGGGCATGGGTGGGTACTGAGATACAGAAGGCATAGGGTACTGGGATGGTGGAGGGGACATGACAGGAGACATCGGAGATGGACTGGAGTAGTAGGTCTGCGGAGGTTGGTTTGTAAAGGCTGGTAAAGGAGGTGTGGGGTATGACGGAGGAGGAGGGGGTGGTGAGAACGCCGAAGGTTGGGGAGCAGTGAAAGAAGGAAGAGGAGGAGTGGCGTAAGAAGGAGGAGGGGGGATCTCTGTGACAGGGCTGGCTGCCTCTGGAGACTGCACTGTCAGCGGTGAAAAAAAGGGCCTGGCAGTCCGATTAATGATGGTGCTTGTCTGTTTGGTTGTGGGCGCAGACACCCGCTCAGGTCCAGAAGTACTGTGGCAGCCATTATGAAGCTTTCCAGGGGGAACTGGCCCTGTTTGGACCCCATTTATCTCTGCCTGCCCCTCAGCATGCCCCATCAGAACTGGACCAGTTTTATTACTTCCAGGGGGAATCTCATCCTTGTTTTTGTCCTCAAGCTCCTCGTGGATTCTATCTCTTGCCTCCTCCTCTTCCTCCTGCTCTTCCTTGACAGGAAGGAAATGTCTCTCTTGGATAACACTGTCTTCCATGTCCTCTTCCTTGTGGAAATCCTTACTCGGCTCCTCCATGATATCACCTACTGAATGTGTCCCAGGTGGTGACAAAAGGGGCTTGCTAGCGCTATTCTTAAAGTTCAGGACTCTATCCTTTTCCTCAGTACTCCTCTCTGCCCATGTTAGTTTGTTAGATGAGGGTTCTGTTTTCACATTCTCAGCTCTGTCCTCTTCTGACCCCTCTCCACAGCTTTCAAGCGTGAAGGCGTTGACTCTCTGCTTGCGCCGGTTGAAGAGCTGCACGCCTCTGGAGCTGGAGTTGGAAGGGACTGTGAGCTGAGCAGCGATGATCTGACTCCTGACACGAGCCTCCTTTAGCTCCTTCTCTGATAAACTGGCGCTCCTGGTCAGATCTGGAGTGAAAGAGACAGGGAGTGAAAAGCTTGATCAATGAGAGAATCAAGGGTCCTTTTTTTCCACAACAGAGATGTTTGATTAATGATAAAAGGAGATCCTAACTTTGGGAGACTTAGCAATGCGCTACATCTACTGTTCAAACAAAGACAACTCCCTCAACATCTAATTAAAGCTCACCAAACCACTTTTATGTACAAATAGAGAGAACCAGCAAGGACAAATTTTTAACAAGTCTGGGATTAAATATTCTCTTTTAAAAACCCACATAATTGTTTCTGCACCATATGGTTTTGATTGTTCTTTGCTGCGCTTTCCTTTTGATTCCAACCAACCCAGCGAGAAGAAAATACGACTTTGTGGACACTTGACTAAGCAGACCGGGGCTGTAGACAAAGACTAACAGACATAGGCGGGGAAGCATTTTAATACGCTTGTTGACTGAAGTTAATAAAACAATCTAGGTCAGTGTCTCTAAAAGAAGTTGTTGTCAATCATGTCTCACTCTGATGTAGCAGTTTTGCTGATTGCCTTGAGATTATGAGATGATACATGTCTGTGTTAAAATTGACGGTTTATTTTCTGAGCTTAAGAGCTTCATTCCAGGCAGTGGAGCTATTTCCTCTGCCATCTGCTGTAGTCCCTCCCTGAGCATTCCTCCACCGCCGAGAAAACTCCCCGCCTGAGCTTCCAACATGCCTTTGGTTTCTCTCTGTAGTTAATTTGTGCAATACTGCAGCTCCAACCCTTAATAGACCATTTTTACAATCTACGGCTCCCAAAAATGACATCTTTCGACTGCTGCCTATAAACATACTATACAATCAAGTGTTCCCATCTTAAATATAGAGACTACATCATGCTTCAGAGTTCACGAGAGGAAAATCAAAGATGCATCTTTGCCTTATTTAACAGAATAAAACACTTATACGCTCTCTTATGCACAATTTAAACGAGAATAAGTGGTTGTGGTGACACATCTGGTAGATTATTCAGCTAATTTATGTTACTCTGACTGGTGGAAGATATTTGACATCTCACCGGGAGGTCTGTCAGACAGCTGAGCCATGACTCTTTCTTCATTTAATAAGGTTGACAGATCCAGACAGCTACATTATTTGATGTAATCATGTGCCAATCACAATAATTATGTGTAAATCAATCACTTGTTAAGCTTTCCTACGGAGCTCATTCCACATGCAGTTTTTCCTGGCACAGAGTATAAAGTTGACATGATCATTCCCCCAGTAAAAGGGAATAATATTCATCTGTCACTGATTTTACAGACTCTCAGTCTGCCCTCACAGTAATTGAATTAACTCTTTGTAGGTGACCCGTGAGTTGCACATGAATACATCCAAAGTTCAACAGCATGTGTTTATCATCGTATTGCTTTAATACATAAAGAGGGACTGTGGGGCCCTTCTGGATTATAAGCATTTGCAGTGCATTCATATGCACAAAATTATACCCTTTATGATGAAGGTTATTTCTACAAAATACGCTGGTGTCAGCATCAGTTTGTTAAATCAATCAACCTGACGCTGACACAGGAAAGACAGAACGTGACACAATTACAGGGAAACACATCAATCAACTTCCATATATCTGACAACATTATAACAAGAATGAAAGCATTATCACACAACCCTTTAAACAAGCAGTACTCTCACCACTATTGGCATGAGCATAAATCACCTTCCTTTATAGACTGCTGCAGAAAAATGAACCCACGCATACCGCACAGGTACTTACTGTATATTCAGTGCCTTTTATCAGCATGGGTGGGGATAGCACCACAGATCCCAGTGACATTTTTATTAGCGATTTTATTTTCATAATTCAAACTACCTGGATATAGCAGGGCCAGGGCAGTGAGGCTTGAAATGAAATGTCCCCTCACTGTAAACATCTACCTCTAGTGGGAGCCAGACTGGTTATCAAGTAACACGCAGGTGCAAATCCCATCAGTGATTTATATCATGACTAAAATAGTAAAACTATGTGATACTCTCTATGGAATGTGGACTTTTGATTAGTTGTTTATTTATTTTTCAGTTCATTTGATAGTAATGTGTAGAAAACTCTGGTTGTTAGATGATTAAATGACACCAAGCATTAAGTCATGGTGTCCCCACTAATTTATGAATAATTAAAGCGTTAATCAACAACCAATAGATGAATAAATTAACTGTAAAGTGACATACATATCTCATGCGGAACTGATTAAACAAAAACACTAAAAAGTTACATCTACTTCGGTTTTAACTTTATGAGTAAAGAAAGTAAAGTTTATGGACGGTAGCTTCACTTATAAAAACAACAAGCTGCTACTAACAAGTCATATTTCTTCACAGCACTGCCAAGCACAGGCTGTCCTGATTTAATCCAAGCCTACAAAATCTTCCCAAAATTAACTTAAAGTTTCATTTATCTCGCCGGATCCAATTTAGTGCCTAATCCCTTACCTTTTTCATGTTCAAATTCAGAGCTCCGCTGTTTTGTTGTACTTCCACAAGAGTTTTCAATTTAACTGCGTCTGATAGCTTCACACCCCCTTTCTGCAGCGAGGCACGGGATCGGATTTCTTTTCCTCCGCAGTCCAGCAGCACACAGACAGGCAGACAGGCAGCCAGGGAGGGAGGTGGTCTGTAGCTGGAGGCTGTGCTGTCTGTCATTCAGCCTCCAGCTCTGTTTCACTTTTAAAAAATCTGCACCACCACCTCCACAGGGTTTCCACTAATTATAAAAAACGGAGACATGCCCTGGAGAAAAGAGCTCAGGGGCTTGTGTTGCTAAAGTATTGATGTTTTAGCAGTTGCACACAGACTGCACTTTGTTTTGACAGTTGTGGAGAGGTGTCCAATCAATGGCAAGTATTGAGCGGCTTATCTCTGTGTAATGTCCTGTCATGGCAGGGAAGTGTCTGACTCTTGTAGCAGCCTTTGAAGTGGAAAGGGAGACCAGAATCACTCCAGTAAATGTGTGTATGGATTAGATCGCAGAGACTCCAGAGATCAAGCTCCTGACCTCTGCTGCCCTCCGTGTCTGTCTGGATATCACCATGTAAGTGTGTTTATTGCGCACTCTCTCCCCAACCAAGTGTCTGCCCTCTCTGAACCCCCCTGGGCCCTGAGCTCCAACCTGCAAGGGCAGGATAGGAATTTCCTGTCCTCCAGCAGAGACAAAACTCAGCCCTCAGCAAATGATGCAAGAGCCACCACATCCCATTGTCCATCCCCCTCTTTCCCTACCTCCAACTTTCCCTACCTCATCCCTGCGTGGGTGAGAGCAGACGGCAAACTGCCCCCACAGCGGGAGGATTTAAGTCAGGGGGCCAGCCCTGCATTTGTGTATCAAAGGTCAGATTACCCTGTCGGATGTTATCTTTCTCCGGGCGATGGCTGTGGGGTGAGAGGGGATGACAGCACCGGCCCCCGTGGGTGATGTGTGAAGCGGTATGGAAAGACAAGGATTAACAGGGGTCCTGGGATCTAAACCGTCTGAATGTGACTTAAACTCTGAGTGGATCCTGTGGGGGAAATAAAAGACCGAGCTCTGCTGCTCATATTGTTACCTCTGTTTATTACCAAAAGTGTAGTCGGATATTAACTGCATTCCTGTGTTGTTTTTGATGACCTGCGTTCCATTTGAGGAAGCTAATTAGTGAGTAATGAGTGATGGGAACAGTGTAAGGTACACAGGCTATAGATCTGTATCAGGGGCTGTTATCTGATGGCCATGACCTTTCTATTATGCTTCCTCAAAGCACAATGTCTTTTTGCTTTCTTTGTATGCTGCATCTGACAGACTTGTCAGGAGTAATTATGTTTCCAGCTGAGTATTGTTTCAGTTTTTTTCCATTTTGCTACCAAACAACAAAATGTGTTTTTATTCTTACTTATTTTGGGAGTTGACAGCTGTGAAAAGTAGAAAGAAAGGTCTGAAGACGTTTCCAAACAGCTCTCGCCACAAGTTGGCCCATTATTGTCAGTGGCTGTGTTGTATATTAAGACTGCCCTTTAGCAGTGATGCATGATTGCATTTCCATTGCTGTTGGGGCAGCCTGTATTTTCACAGCGTGGAAACAGATGTTTCATAGAGAGCTTCACTGTGTCAAGTTGCAGCGAGGAGGCAGGGCTGCCTGTTTTCTCTATTCGCTGTCTACTCCCTTCAGTTTTAGATTTTCGGATATGATATACTGTAGTTCAAGACACACTGTAGCATTAAGGCAGCACTACAAAGCAAACCGCCAGAAATCTATTTACAACTACATTTCTGTGTTATGAAGTAACAGAGTAAGGATACACTTTCGTGCTGCTGCTTGGGCTCACAAATTAGAACAGCAAACGTCAGATAAACAAACACTTACTTGTTTTCCGGCTCATCTGTTCTTTGTTGAATCCTGTCGTCTCCCATGATGCATTGCACTCTGTCCCAGGGGTATGCATGTTTTGCGTTGCCTGTAGAGGTTTTCTCAATCCTCCTGGGCTCCAGCTCACTCCTCTCCTGATAGATGTATGTCCCTTCTCCATCTCCATCGCTACCCACGGTGAAATGCTTCTGCTGCAGCAGAAACAAAAGCCCTCTGCAGGGGGATATGTGAGTGCTTCGTTCCAGGCAGCTCAGTCGTTGGTCCAGTTGGAAGATGGAAGTTTTAGTCCTTACTGGCAGGCAGTGAATAAATTTAGGAATACAAGACAACACACAAAAATGGACAAGGAAAGGAGTAGCTCAGCTTTCCAGGTTCCTGCTTCCGGTTATGGCTTCCCTTTCAACAGTAATCCTTCCAAATGTTGTCCTGTTTTCAGCTGAAATTTGACAGAAGAAGTGCGCTTTACTTTGGTCTTCATGAAGTATTATTCTCTGTCTAATAGGACCTCCCAGGAGGGTCAAATCCGATGTGCCTTGGATGAGTTCCCATGGACAACTGCCACGAAAATTGCACAAGTTTGTTGTGCTCTGTTGCAAATCTGGCAAAGGGGGCTGAGAAACAGTCCAGTCTTCCCTATTCGCATCTCTCTAATACTCCTTTTTCTCTTTTCCCAGACATTGCTCTTCCTCCTCTGCTATTTTGGTCACCAAAACATGCTTTTCGTCTGCATCCCAATCTCCAGCCCGCAGATTATTTTTCTTTCGGAGAAAAGGATCTGCCCTTTATCTTGGAGATCATAACTCTACAGTGACGTGAAGGGGAACTGTGTATATGGCAGCTTCCTGCTGTTAGGTGCATGTGAGTAATAACATATCACTCTGGAAAGGTCATTCCAGGGACTGGTTTGTATTCAGAGCTCCAATGCATTCAATTAAAGTTGCTTTATTCCGGAGTTCTGTGTTTTTTCTTTTACATTAAAGCCAGACACGGCCTCTGAAGGCAGGATAATCAATTTCATTCCTTTGTTTATTCACAAAACCACAATTGAGAAGGAAAGTTCTTATTTCTTCTGGTGGTAGTTTTGATTATTACTCAAATACATCAGCACACCAGAACCAAGAATTGGTCATGAATACAGTAATTCTGCGGTTGGCAGCTCCACCATTCGGAGTTACAGTTTGTTTGTTTTGCTCCTTGTAGAAAAGATTTTGATGTCTGTGTTCTGATTGTTCAGCCAGTCTGTAAAAAACTGTTTGTTTCAGCTGCAAATAAAAGGATGGAAGGTCGCTGTACTTTGTCTAATTTCTCTCCATGTCCATTCTTTGTCCAGAACCACCTGCAAAAAAAGAGAGAAACATGCAGGTCAAAATTCAGTTAAGCAAACTTTTCTTCAATTATGTTATTTAAATGTGACATTTTGCAAAGACAAAAGCAGGATGTTGCATCTACCCACAGCTTTGGCAAACTGCAGCTTTGGCAAACAGCTGGTACAAGAATCTTACTCGATTTTCCACCATCGCCCTTTGTGTAATGGCATGAGTTTAAACCCACTGCTTTGTACAGGAGTTAAAGTATTATCCGTGATGGTTTTTAGAAAGCAGTCCAAGTGACTTGACCTCTGTGCAGACAGAGAGTCTGCAGTTTTTATAAATTGCAGTGGGTGACTCCAAAAAGAAAGAAAAGTGGCTCAAAGAACATTTTAATACACTCAGTTTGGCTCTTGTGTCACTTTTAACGAAAATTGGTTTACTTCCAAAAAGCATCAATCCCAACCTATTTCCATTTTTTATGAGACAATGAAAGTCCAATTCTCTGTCCTTCAAGATGAAGATCAGCGTTCTCACTTTGAACTGCAGTCAGGCTTAAAGGGTGGAAAAGGAAATGAGGAGACGCCTTTATTAAAATCTGAACGTGATAAACTCAGTGTTGTCTCCGCAGACGGAGGAAGGTCACAATTTGTTCAGGCTTTAAGATCGGAAATGTTTATTAAACCTGCCAAAAAATTAGCCCTATCTCTGCCTCTGGGTCTGTGATGTGATACAGAGTGCTGACAAAATGGATTTAGATTAAAGATCTCCAGGCAACATGAGGTAAAGAGACAAACAAATATTTGAATTGACATCTATCACATCCTCCCTCTTATCTGATAAAGCATTTCATTAGAGTTGCAGTGTCATGTTCTCCCTTCAAAGCTAATAATACCCTCTGGCAATGTTTGTAATGATAAACCAGTGTTTGCACGTCCTTTTCCTTGATCAGACTTGCCTCTCCTTGAAGCCAATCACGGTTGCATTTGTTTTTGCTCGTGAGTCACCGCTGTAGTGCTCAGGAGTGGGAGGGCTGCACGGAGAACTACACACATAATCATTATTTTTGAAATTCCTTAGAGGCATCGCAACCACACTCACATTCATCTTTTCTGAAGGTGTGCAAGCTCCGTTAACTTGTTTGCATCCCTTGAAGATTGTGTTTTGCGGAGATGCTCTCCCTCTGACATGACAGCTGAGTCATGACAGTCTGTAGGAGGACTGCTCATTGGCCCCTGAACACAATCAACCCAAGCAAAACACTGCCCCACCTCCCTGCAGGAAAGAAACAAAAATCCCTTTTCGCTTGCTGGCGTGATTGTGTCAAGTGAGGAGAGATGAAGGCCGTCATTGTTTAGACTCACTGACAACAGCTCTTTGATTTCCCCAGATGTGTTCGGATCTCACTCGGAGATGGACATTGTCTTGTTAGATTAGCACCTCATCTTGCTGCATTTTCTTTATTCAGACTTGTCTTTGTTGTTCCAAGATTTCATGTTTATTGTAATCAGCGAGAAAAGAGGTGAACACATGTTGAGGCCGTGTCCTAACACCGCTGTGCCGGATTGATAAAAATATTTTTTGATTACTTGTCTTTGATCCAGTCTGCAAATATTTATTAACTGTCGGACAAAGAGCAGATGTAGGACACTCAAAACTGACATGAGCAGAGACTTAGCTGAAAAAAAAAGAAAAGAAAAACACAGACATATGGACTCTTGAAAACCTCATCTGCCACAATCTGTTCTTTTTTCTCCTCTTTTCATTGGTCTCAGCTTGTTAATACCGAGCTTGGGTGTTGTATTTGTGCAGGCTGTTCTCATGCACTGTTTGTTCGTATATCTCTGGAAAGTAATGCTCCATAGCTCGTGCATGTCCCATGTAAGCATGAGCCAGTAATTCATGTATAACCCATGTAACTAGGAAGGCCAACGCAGGACTTTCCCAGGAGACCAGTGTTTGGAACTGTGTTATTCGACGGTACATTGTCACCATGTTTTACTTTCCTAAACCTGACCTAAGTAACTTTCCATTAAGTATGTAACATCATTTGTGGAGACTAATTAGCTATATATACAATCCATTGTGACTTTTACCCCACTCCAACTGATCCCATCTACTTGCCATACCTGAGATCTGATGTCATCCCTCTTCCTTCCCACCCTCCAATTACCTTGAAGTTCAAAAGGTATTTCACGGTGCCCACCTGTCCCACCCCTGCACAGTTTTCCTGTGCCACCCATTGACCTCCATGATTACAGCCAAGGATATCATTTACAGTCTGGCCCGTAGGCCACTGTACTGTGTAATCACGGAGTTCCTGTACATCGTCAACATATGATGGATCCATAAGCGAACAGCAAATCTATCCCACAGCTCTCAGCAGCATAGTGATGACGCACAAAAGAAATGGCTTTGGCAGCCGTACAAGCTGTAATCATTCATTTGTCCCTCATGGCCGTTGTCTTGTACATTTATTACACATCTGCATCAATAGCCAACTTGTAGACAGCATGTCAGCCACCTAATAACTCATACGCTGCATGCATTTTCACCTCAGGTACGGCATCTGCACATCATCAGTCGCTCTGGACGCACATGTGTTGAGGTATGTGAGATGTGTGGATGTCAGGTGAGCATGTATTCAAACCTTTACTGCAAGGCTTAAAAGTGTATCAGTTACAGAGCTTATAATGAGGCATCTGGTCACGACACTGAGTGGCAAGCCTTTATGATCCAATCCCTCTGGGGCAGAACTGCTATGTGTTTGTTATCTCTTTCCTTTTGCTTGGATCCTTTACAGTTTGGCAAGCAAAAATCATTCAGCCGTTAATGCTAAGGGCTTTAGCAGGGCCCTTTGCTCTCCCTCTTGCTCACACTCAGACAAAGAACCATTCAAGGGCCCTCGCAGCACTGCGACATAATTTTGGGTAGTGCTCCAAAATTGGCATTCCTGGTTCATAATTCCTCAGGAGGCTGTGATAGTCAACATGCCTCGGCTTGTGCTGGCTGATGACTGACATCTAGCACACTGCGAGGCACAGACTCCAATAAAAGTCACAAATGTTTCCTTCTCTCCAATTCTCTTTCCTCTTTTAGGAATCGTGCGATCATAAATCATGCAGAGGGAAACCTTGTAATGAAGTGTCTGCTTCATGTGGAGCTCATCCTACTCGGAGTCACAGGTGGAGAACTTCAAGAGGCAAAGATAAATATTTGAAGTGGGTGTGTGTGATCCCGTGCCAAGAGGGGGAACCTTCTAAAACAATCATCATGATCTGAAAACTGTTAGACATCAAAGAGAGAAAGTGCAGGTACTTTTTTAAAATCTAAGATGTGTGCAAAAATATCAGTGATGCAGGAATTATTTGTGGCATGGTATTGACTTGTTAGCACTGTTATTCTCTTCACAGTACGACATTTGACAAAATGAGTTTTCCACAGTTTCAAAGCATCTTCCGTCACAGCAAACTAAAGGGGTATCATTACTGAATATATATACGGCAACATATGGCTATGGAAAACCTGCAGATGCCCCCTGTAAAGACGTTAATGGGCCTCACCTGTTGTGTTAACAGGAAGCAATTACTTATATGTAAGTCAATACAGCTCCAGCCAGGTCTTTAATTGGATACACCATCTAATGTTACACAGTGCAGTTCAAGTCTATAACCTGGCTACACAGCAGGCTCCATGCAGTCAGGACAATAGGCTCGGATATCAGTGACCACAGTGCTAATGTAGCCAGCCAACCCCCTTTCTGCGAGCCTGCAGCCTGCACCGAGGGGAAAAACAGCAGCCACAGATGTTTGTCATCTACTCAAACAAAGACTTTCAAAGTTTCCCTCCTCTTCGGCTTCACTTCACTGCGTTCCCCCTGCACTCTTCCTCTCCCTCTCCAAACAAAGATAGTGTCTTACCCCGCACAGATAAATATAATGGGCTGCAGGTGACAAAGTCTGCAACAATCACAGTTTCACAGCGCCAGATAAAACTCCACGATTCTGTACTCCTCCCTGTTTGGTGTGTGTTGGTTTAGTCATGCTGCTCACCTGTACTCCGGTGGGTCTGGCTGTTTGAGGCAGCGAGTGTGTGTACTGCCCCTTTTCAGTTCTTACGACTCTGCACACACACACACACACCTCCCCCTTTTTACCTCTCCTCTCTCTCTCTCTCCCTCCCTCTCTGAATTGAAGCAGACGAAGGATGAGGGTGGGAGGGGGTCAGTTGGAACACAGAAGGCTCTTTGTCTGGGATCTTTTCATATGGTTTCCTTCAAGCTTGCATACTGAACACATTATGCTATAATATATTTTCATATTCAGCACAGGGATGTTGAGAGACCAGTGGGCCCCACTCTGTTCACCCCCCCGCAACTTCTTTTCCTTTCTTGACCCATTTTCCCGCCATACACACCAGGCAGAGAAATCCAAATAAAGAGTGAAAACTATGCGAGAAAAATGTAGACGAAGTTCCTGCAGAACCCACAGAATTTGTTGATGCAGTCCCTGGCTGCTTTTGAGTAATAAAACTCAAACACAGACACGCAGACTCAGGACAAAATGCATCACATATAAAGATCCTACAGAGCTTTTTACCATGTGGACAGATTCCTGAGGACAGTACAGTTACATTCATACTGTTGCACAGTACATCAAAGGTGGGCCGAAGTCATTGTTTTCCAAGTCACAAGTCTCTTTGCACTTGAGTCAAGGTCGAAGTCGAGACTGACAAGTCCTGAATCAAGTCCAAAGTCAAGTCCTAATTCCCAAGCTTAGAGTTTCAAGTCTTAAACAAGTCATAATGTCCTCTTTACCAAACCTAATGCCATTTTAACAACCTTTTTCTGTAACCACTTATCCTGCTACAGGGTTGTGGTTGTGCCAGAGCTTATCCCACCTGGCACTGGGCGAGAGGCGGGGTACACCCTGGACAGGTCGCCAGACTATCACAGGACTGACACATAGAGACAGACAACCATTCACGCTCACATTCACACCTGCGGGCAATTAAGAGTAACCAGTGAACCCATGTCTTAGGATTGTGGAGGGAAACCAGAGCACCTGGAGAAAACATGCAAGCTCCACACAGCCGGCGGATTTGAACCCAGAACCCTCTTGCTGTGAGGCGACCACTGGACTACCGTGCCGTCATGTCAGATAATGATAATAATAATAATATATTAAATTTACAAAAATCATGAATGATCTTGAAAAGTTGTATCCATTTGTTAAAACAGTAATACAAATTTGTTGGAAGTTGTTGTGTCTCCATCTGTAATTTCAGTACCACATGTTTTGCATTCTGTAATCCATTTGTTGTTGGCCAGCGTGCAAACAAAATCATGTTTGGTACCATTTTTTTCAGCTGTCACTCAGTACCATAATGTTAGCTCTTTGTGGTTCTCTCCTGCAACTTGATTGGATGCTGTCTGATTTTTTTCAAACAAAGTGGATCTGTGGAATTACGTGTCGACTTGCTGGGAATGAATAGCATTAACATTAGTCAATTCAGGAAATGAAGAATTGATTTGTGGCACACTTTTTAAATAACACACTTTTTAATCTTTGGGCTTCGGTCTTCAATGGGGGTCCGCAACCCCTAGTGGATCCCCAGAGTTACTGCAGGGGTGCTTTTTTTTGATAATTTAAGTTTTTTGTTTGTCTGTTTGTTTGTTTGTTTTTAAAAAAATAAAATATGTCTTAAAAATAAATATTAATGTGAATTTAACATTATTAGCAAAGATAAATCAGCCTACTCATGAAAAAAAAGCAATTTCATTTACAGTACACAACATTGATGATGGGCTAACGGTTACCCATGAATCCTTGTGCAATCATTTGAGTAGTGGCTTACACTAAATCACTGTCGGCGAGGTGAACTAGTTTGGATTTATGTTTCATTGTAATGTATTGGCCAATTCGCTGTATTACTATTCCAAGTGCACAGACATTCTTGTGAGTCATGATGGATCGTTTTGTAACTTAGAGATTCAGACACACAGTCCACCACAGAAACCACTGATAAAATTGCAGAGGGTGAGGCTAATGCAACTGGCCATGCTACAACTACTGTTGACCTTGCAGCTACAGGCCCAAAAATATTCAAAGAATTATTTCAGTTTTATAAAATAGATATAGTAGGGGGTCCCCGCTCCATCTCTTTTTGGCGTAAGGGTCCTTGGCCTGAAAAACTAGAGTTTTTAAGTCAAGAGGCTCAGGTCCAAGTGAAGTTGCAAGTCATTTGCAAGTCCATGTCAAGTTTCTTTTTTGATATTTTTGAAGTTGAGTCTAAACTCATCAGATATGTGTCTCAAGTCTGACTCGAGTCAAGCTTATGTCCAGTCTACAGCTCCCCAGTACACAACATTTGTCCTCTCTGCAGGGATCCTTGCTAATCTCACTTCAAATCTCCAAACAGTTGATTTACAAAAAAGATCCCACGAGTGCCATAAAATGTCAGTAACATCTGGTTCACTGTATAGCGTCTGAGGCTTAGAAATTATTAGATCTTTAGATTTATGGAACTGCAGTTTTCTGCAAAGAAACATTGGGATATATTTCACTGATCTTTGAAATATCTCATACTGAAACCTGAAGGCTCTCAACGAGATGAAGACTGGCTGTGGGTACTGCGTTGTTTGATCCACGGTAGAGACTGCATGGCTGAGTCATATAGTGGAAAAAAAATGTATGTTGAACGGCTGCCAGGATTTAAGAGTAACATCTTAATCTCCTTTCAGACATAGGATAAGCTAACTTTACTTAATGGTGCCATTACTCTGCTTGTGGTTCACCACTCCTTCAGACAGCAGGTCACACAAAGTTTACCAACCTCGACTTTCCCAATCAGTTCGGATCGTGAGCATTTTAAAACAAATATAAACATTTTTAGACGCTTTTGTAATTCGGAGGGTGTTTCAGGTGGTGTCATATGTTTATCTGAACTTTTCTTTTCACCACCTTTCCTCTCCTGATGGATGGTCCTGCCAAACCGCTCAGACAATCCATCACCTCGAGGCTACTTTAAGTAACGTCTCAGCACTGCCTCCTCTCCTCCTTCAACACCCCTTTCCTCCTGCTCCTGCTCTCCCTCTCTGTATTCTTCTATCATTTTCTCCTCTCGCCTCACACATCTGTCAGCCCTGATCGATTTTCCTTCTCCTTATCTCTGTATTTCCTTTCTTTATAGTCCCACTTTAGGCTACTTATTCCTATTTCCGTCTTCGATCTCCCTCTGTTCATCACCATTCCACCATTCCTGTCTCTTTGGCCCAACCTCTCCTGACATGTTTATATGTGTAAGACCCCATGCAGCTGGGAGAGCAGCCATTAGCCGCTGTGTCTATTCTCTGACTTTTTCAGTGGCCTGTGCTCCTCTGGCGTGACTCTCTGAAGGGCAGCTGTGTGTGTGGGAGAGCAGGGAGCTGAGGGGAAATGTTAGCGCACATTCCTTCAGATGAGGGGCTTTTGCTGCAAAGACAGCGTCGTGGAATTTTCTAAGTGATCTGGTTTGCATTCCCTCTCAAGTCAGATCCATCTACAGAAGTTATTAGAGAGCGCTCGCTACGGCCCAGGCTTGAATTGATTAGAATCATACGCAGGCCCCTCTCTGCTTTCTGGCTCACCATACCAACCCTCAGCTCATCCCTCTGGATGTAATGGGATACAGCCATGGGGCTGTTCAAAGGCACAGCTTTCATATAAACACACAGAGAGAAAGAGAGAATATTCACCATGCTTGTGGATATTTTGATGGGTAGATATTCCTCAGTGATAATGAGGCACAACTCAGTCGAGCTCACGTCTCATAGTATGCATACGAGTACAACTGCATGCCGATTGGGTTGATTAACAATCTTCTGGGATATAGTATGCATGCAGCACTAATTCATTTAAGGTACACTCATGTTTCAGCACTGCCTCTGTTTATTTTCAGGCAACCAGACATCTGTATTTCTCATAAAGTGCCTCAGAGGGTGTTGTGGTCTGAAGCAGAGATGAATAGAGCCTGGTAGAATCAGGGTGTGTCCAATTGTGGTTTGATGATGTAAACTACTGTGGGGGCACATTACAAACAGACCCATTAGTCTAATTACCCAATGGTGGAAAAAAGTACATTTACTCTTGTACAGTACTTAAGTAGACTACAATTTTGAGGTACTTGTACTTTACTTGAGCATTTTCATTTTTTGCTACTTTATACTTCATTCATTCAAATACATTTATTGAACTCTTAGATACCTTGCAGATTCAGATAAATAAAACAAAATTGAATCAACAAATGAGAAAATAGTAGTCATAACAGGACGTACCCAGACAGACAATGGTTCACGCATGCATTAACACCTGTCGGCAATGTCTTTTGAGTGTGGCAGGAAGCCAGAGAAAACCCACGCTGACAAGAGAAGAACATGCAAACTCTATGTGGAAGGGCCCCAGCCAGCCAGCCAGCCAGCCAGCCAGCGGATTTGGATCCCAAACCCTTTTGCTGTGATGCGACAATGATATGATATGAAATAGACAGTCTGCACAGTGAGTACTTTAACTTTCAGTTACTGAAGTATATTTTTGCTAATACTCTTCTACTTTCAGTCAAAGGAGTTGTATGAGCCATTCAAAGCATATGATTCAGACTCTAAAGCACGCTTGTCTGCACACAGTTCTCAACATGGAGGTAGCTGCTAACTCAGTAAACATTGCTAACAACAGCAACAGTGCTGTGACAAAGCTAACATTGTTACCTGTCGCTTCTGCAATGACGGTGTTCAGATATCGGTGGTAACTGCCCAGTGAGCACAGTGCAGTGGCAATTAGCTAGCCAGCAGGACACACACACACAGGTACTTATGTGCACTAACATGCACGCACAGCTGGACTGGGTACCACGACACTGGACAGAGAAGCTCTGATAACAACACACAGAGGTAGACTGACTTCCTTCTCTGCTCCTGACGCCATTACGCCACTACATCTCTACAGAGCAATTTTTTAAGGTAATTCTTTAGGTAAAACTTTGAATGCATGAACTTTAACTCTCTACAAACTTTAGTATTTGTAGACTGTGGTATTTTACGCAAGTTCAAACTCTGCTTCTTCCACCTCTGCTAATGCTGAT